CAAACAACATGATGAACTTACCCCGTCTGGTAGCTTGTTGGAACCTTGGACAAGGCAATTTGTTCGGGACATTCTACTTGTATGAAAAAAAGGTCCCTCGCCAAAGAAAACAACAGGAACATACGTACTTCAAGCGGAGTCCTGATACAACTAGCTCCTATGTTGTTTGCCTCCCCGTGTCCCGCAGGAAAAATCACTTGAATCCCAGAATCAGCAGCGCTGCATGCCACAAGGCTGCTATCTTCCGCAGCACGCGCTGACCCAGCTGAATGTGACTCAGCTGATGCAACAGCTGCAACAAGTGGAAGCAAAGCACCGCCTAGAGCGACTGATGCGGTTGCGTTGGTCGATGTTTGTTGAGTAGTAGAGTAGAGTACCTGCTGGTCCTATAAGCCCTGGTGGCTCACACAGGTTGAATTCGCGTTGACTTGCAAGAGTTCCTGATGTTCAGAACCTGGTCATTCATTCAGTACAGAGTCTCTCCCTTCAAGGTCCACCTCTGTGAGGCTCTTCTTGCGGAGGTTGTCCGACCCCACGAGCATGTGCCGGGAAGAAGCAAAAACGAGACAGAGACGGAGACCGGTTCCTCTTCTAAGATCTAAGACCTCTCACCTGAGAGGTGGTGAACACTGAAACCACGTCGGAAAGCCGCATGATTTGGCAACTTTTCGCTTCCGGACGCATCTTCTCTGAGGCCCCACGCCGCCGGCAGCTGCAAGAGGTCCTCGCTTGCTGCAGGCTGCTCGACCAACTGGAGCAACTCCTTTTCCTGCGGAGGGTCGAGTCCGTCCGTCGCCCCTGAAGAATGGGACTTCCAACACTTTCCTTGGTTTGGATAAGATCCCCAGGGCAGCCAGTTACCTCGACGGCGCTGGTCACAAAGACAAAAAAAAATACAAGAACTATATAGACTTAGAAACCCTGGTTTCTTTTAAAGGTGGCTTGGAAACATCCACGTGAAGCATCATAGGCCACTGGAACATATACCGTACGTTTCAAAGGTTTGATGGCACTGGCCCTCAAATGCTTTTTACATGGGGATCTACTCTGAAACCATTGATTGAAAAAACGAAGAGAAGTCGCTGAAAATCTCGGTGCATCTGGCATTCTTTCTCGGGTATTCTGTGGAAATCTATCTGGCATATATTTGCATATACTCTTATCTGGCATACTTTCTGGCATTCTATCTGATAGTATCTGGCATATATTGACGTTCTATTTGGCATGCATTCTGGCATTCTACTGAGGGGCATATTTTCTGCTTTTCTTTTTGGCATAAACTCTGGCATTTTTATTTCGCAAAAACTCACACTGGATCTTCCTGGCATCTGGCATTCTTGTTGGCGGTTGAGGGCTGGTGGTGCCCACTGCGATCTGGAGGAAAGAGAGAAGAAAACCAACTGCTCCAATAGTGTTGAGTTTACTGAAGCTGTCAAAAAGATTGAATGTCTTACCTAACCCACAACGCAGAACCTGCGCCAACCACAAGGTTTCAGATTGAGCGCAGCCATGCTTCGTTCAAAAAGAACGAGTTTGTTTGAGATGCAGTTGCAAGCCTTGGTTTGCTAATACTTTTCGGGCAGTGGGAAACCACCGCCAAGGGTCCCTTCACTGCGCCTCTGTTGGGGGTGTCCCCAAAACGGCCCGAGCAAAACGCCGATCTCTGAACATGCACTCAAAGCTTCCAGAAGTTGCAGGCATCTCCTTCCACACCTCCCGTGCAGCGACCACGTCCGCCCCCCAAATCCCTCCCCTTTGCACTCTGACAAACACATCACATGGAAGTGGAAAAAAAAAGCCTCCTGGAGTACTACTGTCCTCTACAAACAAGGGATCTTCCACTTCCATGAGTCAAAGTGTATATGCCCTAGGGCTCCAACCATCTCCTCAGAAGGTGGTTAGACCCCCCAATCCCACCCCAACCATCTCCTCAGGAGGTGGTTGGAGCCCTAGGGATGGACCCATGTCCTGCGACCGACCGGCCCTTCAGACTCGGCCAGGGCGGGCCGGCCGTGAGGGCCATCCCACATGGATCCCGTGGACCGGTCCAGTCTGTCACGGCTGAGACGGCTGCCATCGCGAAACAAACCGAAGAAACTGAAGGGCTTATGGAGCTCACTTCAACACCACCTCGGTAGAAAAAGAAGCACCACTCAATCCGACGTCTCCAATTCCACTCGTGTGCGACCGCCGACCATCGCTGACCTGCCCACTGCGACGACGACCGCAGCGGGCGGGTTTCGCACCATTCCCCCCCCCTGGGCCTCGCACCTTCCTCCGACGAAACCGGTGAGAAGGTTCGAAGCGACGAAACCACCGTCCTGTCACCCATACTACAAACATGGGCAAAAACCTTGGTTTCACGGAGGTACTTGGAGGCCTAGGGATTGAGAATTCGACTCGACTCTGATGACTGATGACTACAAAAATGGGAGGAAGCACCCATTGCATCCAATTGCCATCACTGCAGTAAGGATGTGGATCGTCTGAAACCATCGTGGATACTCATCTAAATCAGCCCTCACTGCCCTCACGAGGTTTTGGACGGAAAGGAAGACAAGTTGTGATTCTCATCAGATTCCTAGCCCACCATTGATTTAAACGCCTGAATCCCGGACAGCTGATTCTTTAAATCAGGAACTTTAGACTACAGAATCAGGTCAACCATGGTCGACCATGTTTGTAAATGCTTTTGGTAAGGGATTTGCTTCCATCCTTGAAAGTCCACCTTCGGTGAAGCATATATAGTTGCACCTTCTAACCTTTTCTCTCCCGGGTCCCATTCATGTCTTTCCTTGTATCACCTGCCCACCCTCTACAGTACACTTCCCGGAGAGGTGTGTTGATGGTGACCCAATCGCCCAACTGCTCACACCTGCGAGGCAGCTGCTTCGGCCGCGCGTGCGCCAGCTGGATCATCCGCAGCTTCAGTGCTCGCAGCTGCTGCCGCGCCGCCGGCGCCCGCGCGTCGTCGCCGTAGAGCACGTCGGGCACCGGCGTGGCCAGGCAGCGCGAACGGTCGCCGCAGGGCATCGACCAGAGCTCCGGGCGCGTGGAGACGAGGCGCAGCATGGCGGGCGAGGCGCGGAAGCCCGCGGAGGAAGCGAAGGAAGTCAAGTCTGTAAGGAGGTGTGAGTGTTTAAGTTTGGGTGGTCATTATCTAGTAATAGGATGTATACTAACTAGGTTTAATGGCCTCCCCCGGAACAATCGAAGTGAAAAGGGACATTCACTTGAAAACCAAAACCACAGTTTGCAGTTTCAAGTCTGGCGGTATATGTGAGGTCATTCTGGAGGGCGAATGGCATCCAGAACTCATTGCTTTTGGTCTGGTGGTGTCTCTCACTTGGCCCCGGTTCGCAACCGGTCCCTGTGGCTTTTGGATCATCCTGGAGATACATATGTGTGGTGGTCACGAACAACTTGCCATTGGCACCGTGCAGTCGGTATTTGGAGCACCAAACATGCAAATCACAGCAGTCCGAAACACTCCATGAGACTGGCATGACTCCTTGTATTTACTTACACTTTGGTGGTTGATTTCAGGGGTCAACGGGCCGGGCCATAGTTCTAGTTCCATGGATGGTCCGCTTGGCGAACGGGCACTTGGGGCTGGTGGAGAAAATTCGAAGTAAAGCTGGGAAACAACATGTGGAGTACATTTGTTCTAGTGAAGCTACAATCAGTCTTAGGTTAAATGAAGATGATCTACTTCCAACGTGTCACATCAGACTTCTTCTTCTGAGAGCTGTCTTGTAAAGCCTCGTGGCTCAAGAGCATGGCTGCGGATCAAACATAAGAGTGCTTGGAAGCTTAAGCTGGCTGGCAGCAAAACGCACGAAGCCCTGACCCTCCAGCTGTGTCAGGAGTCCGTAGACCTTCAGCCCTTCTTTTCGAGTATCAGGAGTCCGTAGGCCTTTTGCGAGTCCAATTCAGTCGATTTCTTTTGCAGGCCAGAATCATTCTCTTTCTACTTCCTCCAGCTGTACAAGTCTGCCACCTTCCTCTTCCTCTGATCAAGCGTCGCTTCGACAGCCGGAAAGCACCTCTGGTCCGAGATTGCGAACATGAAACAGCAGACTCATCTCAACAACATCCCCTCAAAATACCCTCAAAATACCCCACAAAATAAAAAAACACCAACACGTGTCCTTCCAGTGGTCCCCAGTCCAGTCGTCCAGTCCCCAGTTCGGTCATCCGTCCCACCAGACAGTCCGGTTGGATCGAAGAACACGTATGGATCGAGGATGGCGCAATAGGTCGACACTGCGACCTCTTTGAAAGATTTCATGTCTTGGGTTCAGGGAGATTTCTAGGCAGATAAACCTTAAAATATCTTAAAATATATGAACCTCTAGACAAATAAGTTCTATCTGTGAAATCTATATAATCTAGGCTCAGTCGGATCGTGGAAATTCCCGGTCTGAAGGGTTCCCATCTTGGCTCTGTGGTGGACTCAGTGACCATGTTTTTTTGGGCAAACACCGCCAGTCAAAAGCCGGTTGGTGCCAAGGCATCCAAGCCCGAATGAAACCCACCTCAGGCCTTGAGATTGTAACATGTACGAGTACGTGCGCAGCAAGCTTATTTACCCACATACATTGGGCCCTTTTGAACAAATTCCTATTCGTACCCTTAAGATCCTTAAGACTAACCCTAATGTAAATACATCATACACGGAGTGTCTGGGATATTTCGAGCGAAAGTCACCCTATCGCACCTCTTTGCGAAGCTACTGAGGTCGATGTACTGGAAGTTGGACACCAAACGATTTGGTGCCAATGCAAGGCTACCGGCTATAAAGTTAATTCAACATATTGTCCGACAATCCTGTATACCAGGATCATCCAATGGGTGTCCAATGGAGGTTTGTGAGTAGTGTAGGGTAGTCTATATGGTCCAGGTATGGAATGGTCTGGCAATGGAACCACAGCACATGGGCCTCCACCACCACCACACCACCGCCCTGGTGTTTCGAAGATCTGCTTGGGAATCCCGGCACTGCGTCGAGCTTCCACACGGGCCGGGAGAATGCCCAAGGAGGGAATGCCTGGGCGGCTGAATCACTACGCTGTTCTCAGGTGTTGATCCTATGACACCGCGCTTTTCGGGGGCCCCTGGCATGGAAGATTGACCGACCTTGATCCGACAAAGCACCGCAGATGGATATGGCACACGCTGTCAGAGTCCCATGGATTGTTCGGGCACGAATAGCACTCTGCTCCTCTGACCTATTTACGGTGGTTTCAGAGTAGATGGCACTATCCTCAAGTTTGGTGGTTTTTTTAAAAGACATCATGGGGTCTGTGCTATCTACCCTGAAACCACTGTAGGTGAATCAGAAAACCTTCCATGAAACCCGACGAAGTGACCAAGGTGGCCGGAGGTCAATGAAGTCAAACAGTCCAAAAGTCATGGATTCTTTGGAGATGTTTGGAGATTCGAAGAACCACGAAAATGGATCCAACCTTGGGTGGTGTTTTTGGAGCGAACCTGCTATCTGAAAAGCTTTCGAGACTACTGCCCACCTGGTGGAACGTGATCAATCACATCACGTAAAGACCCAACCTGGGACGTTACACCCCTCACTGTTGAACATGTTGAACTAGGGCTTGGAGCACCTCTCCCAGTTTCACATCACCAAGATGGGCTGGGATTCTGCGGGGTCAACTAGTGCACACAAAATGTGCCACATGCTTGCTCCGTGTGCTACGTGTGGGGCTCGCATGGCCACCCAAAAAGCTCAACCACACGTAGATGGGCGGGGCTCAAACGGCGTGGGCGCAGCCCGTCACGGTTGCTTCAAGAAGGGAATCCGATCTGCGAATGTTCTAGGAGAGGGGATTCCCCCATGGTAGCACCCCTGACAGAGTTGACCTTACATGTTAACCATGGTCTAGAATCTATGCCAGGTATCTATTCCCAAAGAAATACGAAAGATCACCACTCTCCCCTATCTCTCACAACTCTCCTGAGCACTAAGGCACTAAGACCCTGACCCTTCAGCACGGGATCCAAGAGCAACAGCACCAAGGTCTCGACCGTGTCCTCGATCCGTCCATAGACCTTGGGTCGCACGTCGGTCGCACGGTCCGCGGGCCGTTGCTTCAGCCTCTCGTCCGCGTGGGCCGTGGGTTGTGCGGTCCGGATGTGCCGATATGGACGTCGAGCTGGTGCTCGCCGGCCGAGAGAGTGGCCATCCAGTGGCACGACGAGTGGCACGGTATGGCATCGATTCATCGGTTCACGTGTCGCCGACTCATTGAAAATAAGGATGGCACTCGATATATAGGGATTGAACAAAACGGAAGACTCTCCAACAGGACGGGAACCGTTTGAGGTGTTTTGAGCCCCTATGAACCTACTATGGAGGACAACATTGGGAACCTGTAACTGTAGAATCCATGCATGCAAACGGGTTGTTTCTGAGGTCGTCTCCTGATTTCATGTCTTTCAAGGCGCATGCAATTCTCCTAAAAGTTCACCGGCGAAGTACATGAAAGAACACCGGCGAATGACACCATCGACCCGAACGTTGGTGCGTCACTCGTCACTCGTCACTCGTTCGATTCGGTGTTTCAAAGAGATGCCGTTGTGTTCGGTCATGGTCCAAACCGTTGAGGTTCCAACCGGCGAAGAAGGGCGTTCTTTTTGGGGCACATCTGACCCAAACACGACCAGTGACTAGCATATGTATACAAACATTGGGGTGGTTGAACAGGGGTCCATCTGCTGAGTGACCTCTATCTTGGAGCATCAACCATCCAAAAAAATATTGTCTTTTCCTATCAAAACAAAGCTCACCTCCTGGCACGTATACATAACAGTGCCACCAATCACCATACGTGAGAAGGTACGACGACTGGATCCCTGGCCTCTTGGAACAAGGAACAAGGAACCATCGCTACGAACGGAGCCAAACGCGTATTTGTTACTAATAGGGAGTAGACTTTTTGATGAATCATACCCCCAAACCTGAAGAGGACGCGTGCATCCAAATGGGATGGTTTATGTACCTCTGGGAGTCTCTGGACCTTTCACGGTGCACCGCCGAACCCCCCCGAACCCTCCGAACCGGTTCGGCCTCCACGGGATCCATCGAGGGCGTCAACGGCGTCTCCGGTTTGCCTGGCAGCGGTTCAGCTTCAGCTGGCCAGGGGGACCACCGGGCGGTAAGGAAAACCTGGGTGCTGACGTGGTGTTCTGTGATGTTGAGTAGATCAGATGTAGATATCATTAGGATAAGAACTCTGGAAGGACTGGTATAGGTGTTTGATTGGTTGTAGATGTGAGAAACAAAGGAAAAGTGTAAGACCGAACGAACATCATCAAGATGCCAACAAACCTCAAGCGGAATAACTTCATCCATCTGAACCACTGCTAGTCCCTAATTCTCTGTTGATTCTTCCAACCATATAGCATATCTGTGTCCTTGTCTTTTTGGTTCCATTCCGTGTGTGTTTGCCAGAAAAATTATAGAATCTCAAGCGAATCAAAGGTATCGAGCATTGGTCAAACTGGAGTTTTTTGTGGCAGAATGGTCGAGTTTAGTTGCCCCGTTGCAATCCACGAACAACCCAAGACCATCCATGTATCTGGTTGAATTGTAATATTTCGTAGGTCGTTGGGTCGTAATTTAGTATTTCCCAATTGAATTAAGGGTTAGGTCGTTGAAATAAAACATATTATGTGAGGTCGTGGGGTTCGCCGCGGCCCACGGCGTGGCTGGAGCGCAGCGGCGGAGATGAAGGCCTGCCGAGGGCAAAGCCATCAGTTGGAACTCAGGATGTCCACCCTTGGTTCTCCAGGTGTTCCACTAGTGCCAAACAATTAACAATACAAAGAGATAGAGAGATCCAATACACAGAGATCGCTCAGTGTTTGGTGTCAGGTTGCTGCCACTGTGTCGAAACCTGTGGCCCCAACCTGGCCAAAGCGGACAAAACTGTTCAGGGTCCAATTTTTTGTTTTTCCGGGAGGGCCACTTTCAGAACATGACCCAACAGAAAAAGAACGCGTTCGGTAGCTCGAAACCTCGGACCAAGTGGAGCTAAACGGAAATAAACTTTTCAGTGTCCAAAAAGTGCCCTCAGAACATTCCAGTGGTCCGTCCAACACAAAGAGACCGCGTTTAGCGCACCTCTGGTTTAAGCTCACTGAGTCGTTTGGTTTGGTTGCGATCACAAGATAAGAGACGCCATCCTCCCCGCAACTGCGTCTCATGTGAATTAGCCCTGGCCTTTGTGTATGGGTAAGTCAACATCTCAAAGTCTTCAGCAACATCATCTAAAACACGCATAACGCGCATTTTACTCTGTCTGGTTCAAGGTGTCAAAGAGGTCATCCCCCTCTTTCTGTGTTGGCAACCCTTTGGCGCCAATGGCAGCAGGTCCCTCGACTTGCCCTCGTGGCTTCTCTCGCCCCTTCGCTTTCCGAGGCAGCAGGTCGGCCTTCCTGATACGAGCAATCAAATCCCTACGGATCAATGACTCCGTTTTACTGCGTCGCATTTTCCAAAGTTGCAAGAAAATGTGACTATCAAAAACTTTTGTTACTCGAAAGTGTTTATCGTATTTTCCTAAGTTTTTTCTATATTTAACTCGTTGGTGTTGTATATATAAAGAGGTCTATCCCTATTTGAAGGCAAAAGGCAAAAGAGCTGGATGGTACCTACAAACCCCTCATGCCTTTGGAGGAGCCTTGCTAATTCGGACCTAAATTAGTGAGCAGGTGCCAGTATACACGTTCACCCCTTTACCGTGACTCTAGCGTGACTCCCCCCGTTGCTCGAAGTTTTGTTTAACAAAAACTTTAAAGAAGCAGAAACAAGTGTTGTATATAAAATATATACAACACTGTGACTCTACCTTGACTCTAGCGTGACTGTAGCGTGACTCTACCGTGACTGTAGCGTGACTCTACCGTGACTCCAACGTGACTCCCCCCTTGATCGAAGTTTTGTTCAGCAAAAACTTTAAAGAAACAAGTGTTGTACATACATAAAACTGTGACTCTAGCGCCTGGAATGCACATGTGTGTTTTCAGGGATCGTCAACTCTGGAGGGCAGCATACTGAGCGATATGCGGTTAAAATTGCACGCGTGAAGCTTGCGATTGCCAAGAAGAGATTGGCGCGTGTGGATGTTTACAACGCATGGTGCAGGTAAAAAGGCGCTTTTGACCTTGCTTTTTGTTGAAAAATGTGCTGCTAGGACTTAATTAAGACATATATCATATATCGATCATCTATAAATTTTGATAAAATGTTAACAAAATATGACGCCGTTAACCTGCGTCGCATTTCGTACATCCAAGGAAAACTGCGTCGTTGGATGTGTATACGGGAATTGAAATCTCGGGGATTTATGGTCGCACGCTTGGCGGCGTGAGCAGCAGCGAAAGTGACATTCTCAAACAATTCCGTGAGATACCACTCGCACGCAAGCTGAAGACAGTGCAGGGCCTCAGTGGACATCCGCAAGTCCGAGTCCTGCTCTGAGAGGAACTGCATGACACATCGAGAGAAAGCTGTCTTGGGTAGAAGCAGTTCCGGCGCACCTGCGCTCTGAAGAAAAGCGATCCTGAGCAAGGCCGACTTGGCAAACTAGCTGGCTTATGACTTTTTGGCCTCTGACAAGCCAACAACAACAAAAAAAGCACTTGGCGTGCTTGGTGGTTGACGCGCTGGTGAGCTGGGCGCATCAGTGGAGGTGCTCTTCTTGTGGATGGGCGACGAAGCATGTTGGTGGAGCGTGCGCTCATAGAAGTATTTTTCTATGCTGTATCGCCCAGCGGCAAACCCTCTCTTGGGCTTTTTGCTCTGAAAGGCCATGCACTCTTATCTTGCCCATCAGTCTCCAAGGTCCATGGGAAGCCAGAGCGGTGTTTCAACAAATTGTGTTCTTCTTTGGAACTAGTAACTTTGGCCGTCCTCCATTGTGACTCTAACTAAGACAGCTCGAGCGCTGAGCTGTTGAGTGAACTCCAACTTAGACATGTTTAGGCTCATGCAGCAGACCAGACCCTCAACTAGCCACATAAAAATCACTGAGTGACTGCACCCCGTACCAGCGTCAGCGCCCAACTCAACCCGCGCCTCCCAAGCAGCAAGGTGATGATGTGAGCAGAGCTGCCTCCGATCCGGTGGGGACCCGAGCTCTTTTGTGTCTGACCGCATGCGTGGCTCAGCCCTCGGAAAAAATTGCTCGTGGCCTGAACAGTGCCTGTCAAGAGTGGGCTTTTCACCCGTAATCATTTATCTTGAAGCCTTTTGCAAAAGGTCCTGTGGCCTAGTGGCCTCTGTCGCGTCCACCTACCGCAGGTCTCTGGTTCCTGGCCTGAAAAGTATTTTTGGGGGAAATGAACTCGACATACCCCAGGTCCATGGCTCAAATCCTGCCAGAAGTTAAAAAAACATTTCGTGGCCTGAACAGTTTTTTTTTGGAAATTAGACTCGTCCACCTACCCCAGGTCCCTGGTTCAAATCCTCCCTGGCGCTGTCTTATTCTAGCTCGGCGGTGTTTCTCTGCAGTCACTGCCCAGAAGTCAAAAACAACTTTTCAATGGCCTAAAAGGTTTTTCTTTGGGAATGCACTCGCCCAGCGCCATTTCAGTGCAACGCGCGAAGACTCCCAAAGCAGGAAGCTCAGGAAAACAGCTCCCCACAAAAAAAACAGATGGGAGCCAACCCCCTGGCTGGGCCCAGTTAGACACCAGGCAGCCGAGCCCAAGTCCCACCGCGCCTTCCAGCAAAGGTGGCGCCGCCAGCACGCCGCAGCAAAGAAGTTGGGAAAGAAACGAGGTGTTTGGTGTGCGGGAGGGGGAGAGAGATGGTGCCTAAAGGGACCATATAGCGACCTCACCCAGTATAGTCCCTTAATTCCAAATGTTAGGTCGCAATTTCGGGGTGACGTCGGGTGAGGTCGCTATACTTCGACCAGAATGTAAGTATTCCAGGCATGGATAGTCTGGGTCTGGCAACCTTCTTTGCCTCTTCTACATGACATACTCCTGAAGCTGGAGCTTCGTCGCAGTAGGGTCCCAGTCATTAAATGGTCTTTCGAACAAATCTGCTGCAACCGCGCACGCGTGTTTCGATATTCTTCTCTCACCTCCATAACCCGCAGCCCTGTAGGCTTGACTGACCACATGAGCCGAGGTGTCCTGCGACGATCGGCTTCGCCGTTCACGTCCCCCGTCGCCGTCGTCGCAGTCGTCCGGTGAAGTTCGATCGAGTGGTCCGATGACGTCGCCGGTGCGTGCCCCTCGGCGATGTTGGCTTCCTTTCTTGAGCTGCTTGAGGTATTGGGAAGATGTTCTCGCTGCTTGTATGGAATTGAAACAAGGAGTCCGAAGCCATTCCCCAGCGTGGGAAGAAAATGGACGCACTTCCAGGTTCCCCATGTTTTTTTTTTTGTGGCCCTGGTTCCATGTTAAACGCCGGGAGTGTGACTGTTTTGTCATTGTTTCATGGTTTCTTCATGCGGACTTCAAAGGCATGGTCCTTACGCCCATGCGTTCGGGCACGCGACTGGACCCTCACCAGCAAAAGCACCCTCGTCCACTGGCACTTTTGCCAGCTCTTCGGAAATTACAGAGTCTTTCAGAGTATCCACTCAAACGGGCCTATTGCTGCAAGCTCTCAAATGTTTTAGTTCTGCACCAGAACTACATACAACATCATTCATCTCACTCAAACTGCGAAAAAAAAAGACCAACAGTTTTCAAACCCTCCTAGAGTCCTAGAGAGGTTGAAGTTCTCTTTTTGTTCGCCTATCCGTATGAGGTAGGGTCCCAGTTCAGGTCTCACAACCTCTCTTGGCCCTTGGCTGTGTCAAGGCCAAAGAACCAAGGCATAGACCTGCAATCCTTGGACTGTCGACACTTTCCATGTCGTTTCTATTCCATGAACCAACGAGCAGCCATGGATTTCTTGGAGGACTGGTCTCAAATGTCTTGTCCGAGGAGCCAAGGGGGTTGATCTAACTCTGAGTACCAAGTACCAAGGGTAGACCCTCAACTTCAAGCTGTAGCTCATGAAAGAAACGGTTCGATTCATCACCCACAAAACATATAGTGTCAGAGCTGCATGGTGGAACCACAGTGAATACAAGTTCAGGGTTCTTCTGTGAGTTCACTACAGTTTGGATCACTGATGGGGTGTCGGATGGGAGTGTGGTGATCAACAAGGGGTTTGACCACCTTCTGCTGGAAAGGCACCAATCAGCCCGATTCTGGACTTCTCAGATTGATGCCGATTCCCCCGATGCCGATTTTCCGACTCAAAACTCTCCTTGACCGATTGCTTCAAGCCAGCCAAGGCATTCACTCCTGGCTGGGACAGATAGGGCCGGAACTGAGGTGTCCCCGAAATTCTAACTGGGTTGTAAACATCCTCCATGAGTGAACTCTCCCTGGTTCGGAGAAATCCACCAAGTGGGCCAAGTCTTGATATCCTATATCCACAAAACAAAGACACGTACGTCTGCACCCCCCCTCCTCAAACCAAACAGCGCCCACACCAAGCCCGTGCGCGCGTGAAACGCGCGGGGCGTGGCGTCGCAGCGAGGGTTCGGTCCTGGAGCAGTCCACGACAGCAAAGACGACCTGGGTTCCGTGGACGAGTGGCGCTTCCACTGCGGGGAGACTGAGAACCCCACGGACTCGACGAGAAGGTCCAAAAGTGTGAACCAGGTTTTTTGGCAAAATGTTTGGTATACTGAGTACCCCCCTTCTGGTCCATTGGAAAAGGAGACGTGAGCGACTTCAGAGAAGCTCCATCACTTCTGACGCCAGGGTCCTGAGTTTCCACGACCTAGCTAGCTGCATCACCGAGCCCATCACTTCTAGCTCCTATCCAAACCTTCGAGCTCCATCACCGAGCCAACGCCCAAGGTTTTCTTGTTGCGTGGAAACTGGTGGCAGAACCTTCGCCTCTTACCACCTGGTGACAGACGGTTTGTTTTCCGATGGTCGCTGTTCTTGAAGCAAATGATGTCTTTGGGGAGGACCCCAAAACACCCACAGCTGAAGGGTTTGGGGGATGCGAACAAAACAGAACGCAAGTGTCGATGGAGAGGAGAACTACAAATTGCCCTGCAGGTTTTTCACATTTCTTACGAGCTCAGTTTGTCCATAAATGTTCTACCCAGACGCTCCAAACAGGCCTTGGTCCCTCAAAACGAGGGTGCGGCCTACTTAGGAAGGTCCATGATTCTGGGTACTGTTCTCGAACCGAGGTTGCCTCTGATGCCTCTGAACTGCTCAAAATTGCGCATCAAGTGCACCCCGGAAAGATCCTACATTTACTTCGAAGGCTCAAACAATGTAATTAATCAGTTGATTTTTTTTGGAGATTCTATCCTAGTCGATCAATTACATGGTTGGTTACTAGGATTTAATTAGAATCCACGAGGATGTTCCGGATAAGTACATGTTCAGATTCTATCCTAGTCGATCCACATAACTCTTGAGAAGTTTCTTGGATCTGGTGGCTGGTCGAGGTAGGTCGCCACCTTTTGAGGGCTTGTTCTTAAACTTGCAATGAACTTGACTGAGTTGCTGGCAATACACAACCATTGCACGGATTGTCAAACACATATTTCTCCAGGATTCCATCTTCATGTTCCAAACATGTTCCACATCAGTTTTGGGTGGAGTCCGAGTCCAACAAAACCAGCAAGAACAAGTACAAAAAAGAAGAAGAAACAATAAGAATAATAAGAACAATAACCACAACAACAACAACAAAAACCACAACCACAACCACAACCAGAACCAGACCCACCAACACAACAAACGCAAACAACAACGGAACAAATATCACCCGCCTACCGGAACATCTGCTTTCGCACCCACCAGTAGCTGACAGCTTGTTCGTCCCGTGGCAAATGCTGACCAGTCGCGACGTAGGAGAGGTCGCGCCGCTGGCTCCGCTCGCTTCGGTGCCACCTTGCTTTGAGCGGATGTGGAGCACCTGAGGACCTGAGGACTGGACAACTAATTACATGCATTTGAGTCAAACAAGGACTACCCTGACCCCCTCAGTTTTCCTGGAGAAAAAGTCCCTCTGGTCCCTCTTTCTTTTCAATGACATTTAGGTTAGCCTAACCTTCCACTTATTGGATTTGAGTTGAGAGACCAATTCCCCAAAAAGGCACAGTGTTATCCAGTGACTGGGTACCAGTACAGGTGAATTGTTGATTGATAGCGGCCCCCCAGTTGGATAGTAAAACCTCTGACTCTCCACATTAGGTGGCAAGCACGCCGTTTTCTGCGTGGTCTGTTAAAATGGCGTCCTTGAATGAGAACTTTCAGAGAGAGGGTACCAAATCCAGAGGTATCCTCACATCGATCATCAGCTTGTTGCACAGCCAATAGACAGAGCAGCAGCAACAGCAGCAGCAGCAGCTTTCTCAACACCTCTTTCTGCACCGGTTTCTCTATACCACTGTGCCCTTGCACGGCTGACTGTGCCTGACCCGCTAGGTCTGCGTTTAGCGACATTCTGCCAGGCCCACTTGGGCATCCTGTTGATGCAAGCGGAATCTTATTTTCAAACCTCTTGTGCCATATAATATACCCTTTTAAGCATGTTCACCCATCACTGATCAATGCTTAAGTCCAAGAAACGGTCGTGGAACTGGTCACTCATTTGATATTCAGACTCGCTGGGTTTTGGGAGTCTGGCTCTCGTTCAAGGGTACCCAGCAGCATGGCTTTCCCGGCGGCCAAACGAAATCACTGTGTCTTCCAATGCGGTAGGTGTATGCCATGTGCTGTGACTGGACCTAGAGGGAAAAACATTACAGAATTTATAGTCACCAGTTGCCTGCAATGACTACCAGTACTAATTTGAAAAACATTCCAGGTACTACCCTGTCATGCAAAAACCATGTTTTCTGCGCCCCCTAAGTGTTCCTGGAACAGAACGGTTGACCTCCTTCGACCTGATCGTTTTGAGCGTACTTCCTGAGTAGGTTTTGGGCAAGTCTCGATACTTGGATCTTGTGTCATGCCGCTCTCTCAAGGAGTCACTGGAAGGGTACAACCGTGGAAATTGGAAAAACTGGGCTCTGATGTGTGTGCCTAACACCATCTTGACCATGTTGACCACGATTGCTGAAATGATGCCTTAGTTTTTTGTGGACCTCATGACTACCAGTACTTGCTGTTGAAGCGGTTGAAGGTTCCATGGCGAAAGCATCACAGTGAAGAACGCCGCAGAAACTCCCAATCACACAAGCGAAACAAGGGGCACACCCAGCGCAACAAAGGTTGTTAGTTGTTGGCCCAATTTCCGGGACTTGAGTCGAGAGCTTGCGGCAAACAGAGATGGTTTTTCAATATGAGGAGGGTCGCTGCAAGAGCTCCGATTTGATTCAAGCGTTTTCGCCTTTTGTGCGCTGATCTGAGGTATCTCTGGTGTAGATAAAACAAACCCGGAATCCTGGTTGACTCCTAAAAGTGTGCACAATAGACTGCTAGAGCCCACAGCCATAGAAACGATGAGTCGAACAAATACGCCACACATGTTGTGAACGTTTTTTTTTCCCCCGACTGCAGTCCTGAACGTACCCTCACTCCAAGCCGGTCACAAAAGGCAAATGGAAGCTACATCAATCCAAAAGCCGGACCATCGTGACGGTGGGTGTCGTAGTCGCTCCTTGCCTGGCACTTCTGAGTCGCCAGGCTCACCTGAGACAGCTGCGGAGTCGCCAGGCTCCAGATCCGTCTCCAAAGGAGTTAATCTGTCGGGTCCCAAAAAAATACACACAGCCCAAGATGGGAGATGGTCACATAAAAACATCTGGTGGTTGGCTATATACAGAAAAACACAAGAGACACACGCAAACAAACATCATACAGAAATTCACCCAAATGGGAGATGGTCATTCATTCATGATCCAATCTGATTCGATTCCATTCGACTCTTTTCAGACTTCAGGATCCCATCAAAACTGGCTCTCTCGTCTGACTCAGCATGGTTGAGTTTTTTTTTTTTTTGAATGGTGCCTTTTCCAGCAAAAAACGAGCAAAGGAAACCAATCAGTCAATCCCCGAGTTTCTGGGTGATGTGCTGCAGGGTGTTGTGGAGATGTGGAAAGCGATCAATGACTCAACTCAGGTCCTGCTTGGCCCATGGTAGCGGTCGTCAATAATAGCAGGACCAAGCTTTGAAACATGTTGAACATCATACAGTTCGTAGAACCTCGACCAGTCAAGCCAAGCCTTCTCTATCGAACCTGCGTGAAAAGGAGTGCTTTCAAATTTCTTGATACGTAGCTTTCAAGATCTTTCCAGGTTATACAGTCATAGTTCTATAATGTTCTATAGTATACCTGGTGCCCTGGTTGGAATAACACTTCCGGATCATGTTGCTAAATGTTACCTTTCTGACCGTTTATTCTTCAAAATTCCCATCATTGAACATTGAACGAGCCTTTTTCGGTGTTCTTTTGAAAGCTGGAACGGTTACCTTCACCTAAATCCAGCTACTTGGCTATTCAGCTTCCGGAGGCCACCCTGTTGGCAGTTTGAGATCATCTCTCGAGATATCTGACTGTAGGCTGCTTCATCAACACAAACTGGTGCCCAACCTCCCCAAAGCCTTCCTTCTCCACCTCTCTCTCCGTCTCCCGGCGCGCCCAATCTCCCCTCCCCACCCGAAACACGCCGACCTGGTGCAAGGAGCTCGGCGGCGTCGAGAAGCTGTTGCATGGGGCGACTGCAGACCTCCTGCGGACGAAACCAGACCGCGCTGCGGAGCCAGCTCGACCGGGGATGCGAAGCTGCTGTGTAGTGGCTTTTGGGTGATGGAGTCACGAGTTTTGGGGGGGAGAGGGAGAGGGAAGGAAGGGATCAACTCAATCATTCATGAGCAGCAAACACCTAACTTCATGGGTATGAGCAAAAGCAATTATGGCTAGTCTAGGAGCAAAAGCAAATCAATCAATAGCAGCTTCCTCTGAACTTTGCATATGTTCCCATGACCAAGACTCATATGTTCCCGTATCTGCTACAACGCAGAGTCTTTTGGATGCTTTAGGCAACAACTGGTTGCGGCTCCGTAGGCCACACATCCCCTCCAACTACTCCAACTACGTGTCTACGTTGTGGCCTTGTGTCCCCAACACCCCATGGCAGGAAGAGCATGTGGTCTTATTCTTGGATTTGCAGTCCAGGAACCAAACAAAAAGTAGAACAGTAGCACATTTGTTCCCCAGGTTCGGGGATTCAGTCGGTTCGGGAAAACATCGACATGTTCGCAACACCAGGTTCTTGGTATGTGGAATTCATAGGAATCTGTGCGGTCCGCAAACGCTGCCTTCTCAATGTTTGGCAAGGATCTAAAGTGCACTGCCCAAGTAGCTGGAAAAAACTCGTGAGCTGGAAAACGTGAACACGTTTTCCACCTCCGAGTCTGATCTGCTTTCCATGCAACAACCTCAGATCCAACTTCTTCCAGCAGCTTCGGAACACCTGGTGCTGGACCTACCAAAGACCTCTACCAAAAAACGTCCGTCCTGGTGCCTGTCAGACGGTTCATGGAGACGCCAAACAGGACACCAAACGGCACAAGGCTAGTGGCTAGCGACTAGCATTCCCGCCCAAGGGATATCACATCCACCAAGTGCGCTCAGCACATCGCCGACTTCGATTGAACATTATAAAAAGAAAAGAAAACGACCTGGCCAGGTTAAATTCCTCCCCTCCGGATTGGAGCGTTTGGATTGGAGCGGCAGAGCTGAAACGACGACCGACACTGCAGGTATAGGGGCCACTTTATAGGTTCGACTCCCACACCTGCTCCTTCTGCTCCTTCAAAGGTGCTGGGAACTTTTGGGTGAGAAGGGCAGTTTGAGGTGTCTGGCTACTTCGGTGTCCCTTTCTTCCAAACGCATCCCATACCCTCAGGATCCAACCACTTCCCCTCCCATCTCAACCCCTTCCAAACCACCTTTGAAACGGAGGTACGTACTTGGAGACCCTATAAAAGGCATCTACCCATCGAAGTGACGCTCGCGCTTTGTGAGGAACACTCCCACCTCATGTGCTTCGACCGCCTCCAGTTCTGCTTGAATCTCTTGGCCACAGCGCCAGCACCTGTAGGGGCGCATGGTAAAGGGCACAAACACACACATAAACACATCACCAAACAACACCAAACACCAAACCGTGTGCATGGGCATTTCAATGACCACCCGTCAGCTGGACCCCAAAATGCCTTGGACCCTTGGACCCTGTTACGACCCGCTCCGACTCGCCCACCGAATCGCCCTTCGCCGGAGGCGTCGGACACACCAAGGCTCCGGTGCCAACCGAGGCTCAACCACCTTTGAGTTGGATAGCAAGGAACAAGCGTTGTTTCATTGTAAGGATCTGTAGTACTACAAAACCAGGTCAATCAACCTTTCTTTGTAAATTGTTGAACGGAAGGCTAAGGTATAGCTATATATATATATATTCTCTCTCTGGAAGTGCCATTTCCCATCTGCGTGGCATTTTCGCGAGAAGGAGGGAGATGGGACATGTATCTGTCCGAATCGAAACGGATGTATCATGATGTATCTGTACTCCGTTGGTCTCTGGTGAAAACAAAGTGGTTTTTAACCCCCCCAAACCTGGCGGTTTGTGTGTGTTCTTCACTCACTGGTTCAAACAAGCGAGTCACCCAAGGCGGTGATCTTCTGTGGAAACGCGGAACCCAGTCTGACTTACTCAAAGCCTTGTGGAGACTCACCAATTACTCCGACAAACTGACCTTATTGGCATAAACACAAAAATGTTCATTGTCAGAAACGTTCCTTCATTTTTGCACGCCAGCAATGTGCACTTGAGAATCCTAGAAGCAAAAGGCCAGGTGTTGCACCAAAACGCCACCGAAGCGAAAACACCATTCCCTGGCAACCACAATCAACCCCTTAGAGTTGGGGACCTAAAAACCATTCCCTTGGAACTTGCTGTTTGCATCTGTTTGCTGCTTGCTCTTCCAAAAGGGCCGGTCCAGCACCCGCCCGTCACCCTTCCAGCCTCCCGACGGCCAATTTGGAGGGCCTGCCGAACTCGACCGAAGCAGCGCGCGTTTCGACCCTGCACAATCGCATGTCCATTGATGGCCATCTTCGGAGGGACAGGTCGACCGATCGAAATGGAAGTAGGAACTCAGACCTCCAAAACCCTTCGAAAATGAGGTACCTTCACCCTACGGGTGTAGAGAAACCACGCGAATCGGAGGAATCGGAGAAACCGGTTGATCTTTCTGATCCGGGCAGCTTTTTGAACGCCAGATCTCAGGTCGGCCACAGAAAGGAAAATACTATGAATTTCCATGTGTTCAGTTTTACAGTCGAGAAGTGACTGGATTGGTGAGTGAATAGCAGGAGACCTTCAATGTCAAGTAGGCTTGGCTGGAGAGCAGGACGCTTGGCTGGAGAGCAGGACGCTCTGGGCAGTGCACTTTCAGTTCATTTTGGAATGACTCACACAGCTTCAAAAGTTGGAGACCCTGTGGGACCCTTACAAGGAGGTAACTCTTAGCAAATAAGTTGATTAGTATACCAAGTGATTTGTATCTTTCACGTCGTTCTCGAAGCATGTCTATGTTTCAAGCAACAATATTAGCATAGAATTCATATAACATGCCAAAACACTTGGCAATCTTCTAAAGTTGTTTCTCGTTAAAAAAAAATAATTATCATAATTTCTCCACTTTTCCTCGAGGAGAGTGCTCCATTGCCAGATTGTTTGCTGTCAGTGTTGTTGACAGTTGGTTTCCCAATTCCTCATCTAGTTCTTACATCATTGGGAGCCAGATGCCACCCCCCCAGATATAATATCTTAGCAAGGTTTGTGTTGCAATACCATATCAGGACAGAAGCACTTGGAGAGCTATCATAAACATTGTCAAGGCACAAAAAGCGTTAGTAAGGCTCCAGGCTTCTTCATATTAAGACGTATTGGAGGGCAAATGTTGACTTACTTAAATTTGGGAAATCCGCCGGCTTGCCGGCGTGTCTTGTGGATCTTGCTGGCTTTTGTACTTGTTGTGTTTGTCTTGTGTTTGATTGTTGTGTAAATTGCCCCTTGGCGCGGATTTTTGCCTCGTCTAACTTCAACCACCCCCCTGTTTCTGGTTTTTGCCCCCCCCTTTCGCGGTTGCTTCATGACGGCTTACTGTTATATGTACGCTCTTACGCAATGCATACGACTGCCAATATTTGGCTCAAGGTACACTTTGTGCGATAGAAAAGCCGCTTAGCTCGCCTTCGCGCGCACGCTCTTGTGACAATTGTGGGACTTGCTAGCCTGTAAGCCGATCTCCAGGTCGATACTGTTGTTCATCGCTCCACTGCGGGGGATTCCACCCTCAAAGTGGTACTCCAGAAAAACCCGAACTAACGGGTGTGCTTCGGTGCACCTGCGTTCGAGTAGAGCCGCTACAGCTAGCACACAATGAGCGATAGTGAATCAGAAGAAGGCCATGAATCAGATTGTTATCCAGATGGTGCGCTACATACTACCAAGCACAAGCGCCAGCATGCCCAGACGCCGCCCTAGGGATGGAGAACACCAAAGTACTGCACCTGCCACGCAAATCACAGCAGCACAGACACAAATACCGCACAAATCACAGCGGAGGCCCAGCGACACCGGGGCAGCGCCGGGGCGTACATCGGACCCCCTGGAGAACACCAAAATACAGAACCTGCTACGCAAATCACAGCAGCGCAGACACAAACGCCACACAAATCACAGCGGCACAGCGGCGGAGGCCCAGCGACACCTGGGCAGCACCGGGGCGTACATCCGTCCCCTGGAGAACACAAGTACTGCAACCACAGCGGCACAGACGCAAATTGGTTGGTGACAATTGGGGGGTAGCAAATTGGTAGGTGGCATCTGGTGGGTAGCAATTGGTTGATGACAATTGGTTGGTGACAATGCGTTGGTGACAATTTGTTCAGTTGGTTGATGACAATCGGTTGATGACAATTGGTTGGTGACAATGGGTCGATGACAATCGGTTGATGACAATTGGTGGGTGACAATTGGTGGGTGGCAATTGGTTGGTGGCAATTGGTTGATGACAATTGGTTGATGACAATCGGTCGAGGACAATTGGTTGGTGACAATTGGCGGGTGGCTGCTCCATTTGGGAGACACTCTGGAAGAGATGAAGCAATTGGTTCCATGTTGGTGCATGGAAAGGAACCACAAGCAAGTCACAGCTGTTGCTACCAAGACCACCGACATCACCCACCCACTTTGAGCTCTTGGGTGAGCAGCTCCATAGGATGGCCAGAACTCCTTTGCCAAGTGTTGGCTTGTTCCAAGAGTGTAACGCACCAAGGGCTCTGCTGACTTTTGTGCAAGAACATCTAGGCCAAGAGTGTATGGTTTACACAGCCAACCATGTCAGCCAACCATATCATCCTGCAGGGTGGTTGAACAGTTTACAGGCAAGATGTTGTGCTTTTGATGTGTCAACGGTTTTCCATGTGTTGGGTTGTGGGGATTTTGTTTTTAGTGTGGTATCCGCTCCTCCTTCCTCCCGCCTCCTCCCGACCAACCAATTGTCATCAACTGATTGTCATCAACCAATTGCCGTTTTATCATGTCTTCTGACCACTTGCAATCCACAAATGCAGTCGAAGCAGCCTCCACAGCACCATCCAATTCTGTTCCCCAAAGGTTTTGCTTCCCAATGCTGGCCAGCATGTCCAAAACTTGGCATAAACTGACAAATGCCTCAACAATCAACAAATGCCAAGAAAGTGCACAAGCAAGTAAGTCAAGGTCAATTGAACATCAATAAGCGCAAGCAAGACACTCCAGCATCCAACACAAATTGTGGCACTGAACTGAAATGTGGTCCGCCACTTTAAAGATGATGTCTTGAGGACGGTCAACGACGCTGCCATTTGGAAGGTGGGCCTGGGCCTTAGAAGTCACGGTAAGAGCTGCAAGCCCGTGGCATGAAAACGCAACCTGATCAGAATGATGATACCATGGGCATGCGTCTGAGATCTTAATGTGAACCAAGCAGCTCTCGTTCTCATCCCTTTGATGGGCCAAGCGAGAATGGCGACTTTTCGTGGCCAGCGAGGCACGCTCCACGTATTTCCAGTGCTCACTGGCTGTTACTGTGAGATGACTCCTCCCGCTCGGCGGGGGTGTCTGCCAGTGGTAGCGCTGACGGAGATGCCCCGGGGATAGCCACAAGAAGTACCATTTTGCAAGCCCAGCCGTGTCTCTTCGCAGCGGCTCCTGGAAAGGCGTGGGTGGTCCCGTAGCGCGGCAAAACGTCCGTGAGGTTTACGCCCCACGTCCGCATGCGGTGCCGTGGCCACGGCCCCCATCAACCTCTGACGGCAGAAGTTCTCCAAAGGCCATCGCGTTTGCGATGCCGTAGATATTGCTGCCGTGCCACTGCAGTTCCCACCTTGGCGCCCATCGAGGGACGCTTTTGTGCAGCGCGTCTGCGCCAGGAAAGTCAATGAACCTAGCACTAATGGTGGGGACCAGGGTCCCCCAGCTGTTGATGTCTGAGTATTAAATTGGAGGTCCTTCAGTTATTGAAAAACATAGTTAAATAAGAACTCAGAGAGTTCAAACATGAATCCACTGAGGTCCAGCCAGCTCAAGGAGCTGCCATTTAATTGAAACAACCCAAAACATACAGTTTAATTTTCTAAACTAAATGATTGGTAGTGAGAAGAGACAAGTTGCTATTTAATTGCCTTTTTAAAGTGAACCAACCAGAGCTCAGCTACTTTGATATGTATAATTTTGAAAGTAAATTATCCGTTGGTGGGAGGTGTGAATTACCTTTGGTCAAAATAATTGGCTGAAATATGCACAAACTAACCGAAGGATAGTCTAACCCAAGCAACCGGCTATGTATTTTCTTGACCTGGCCACTTGAAGACCCAGATTGTCTTATTTTTGAATTTTTGTTCTTAATTTGCTAGCCTCCAACCTAGCAGCGAAGGCCTCCACCTAGCTAGTAGTAATGGCCTCCAACCTATATATATATATATAATAGCGATGGCCCCCACCTAGTAGCTTCTTGCTACTTTCGTTTTTGTGCGTTTACACCAGGAAACCTAAATACCGCTGGTTTTGAGCTATCGAGTGCTCAAAACCTTGGTATGAACGTGCCTGTTGGCAGCATTGGGTGTGCCACCACTGGACCAAAAACTATATTCTGCTGTGGGAGATGCCCACCCCACCCGATTTATTTTTGGGAAGGGCCAAAACCACCAAGAGTCTTTTAAGCGCCCTTTCATGGAGTTTCATGGAACCATGAAAATGCAAAACGGCAAAAAAGACACCAAGGACCCAATTCTGAACGCTGGCAAGGACAGCAAATTCACTGCACACATCAAACGCTACATTGCAGATTGCTTTGTCTTTTCTTCAGTGTTTGTTTTCAAGTCTCGTCTTGCTTTCTTGCCTCGAAAAGGGCAAGCAACCGCCACGACGTACCACATGTCATGCGATGCGCCAAAAACTAAATCACTTAATTTCCTCTTGCGCCATGATTGGTTTAATTTTCTAGCTTCGCGTAATTAAATGGTGAAAATTGAAGTGGAGGTCAGGGTGTACCTCGTATAATTTACACACCGCAAGGAGTATGAAAGTCAGGCCCCACAGGGGGTGCAGTGTGCAACGGATAGAAGCGCCATTCTTCCCCTTCTTTGCTTCCTGGCAGCTGTGGCAGTTCTAGCCCGGCATTCAAAGCCACGGCTGTCTTCAAATTTTGGGGAAGGTCATCGCCCCAAACCTCAGCCGGTCGAGCACCTTCGACGCTCCATCCATAGCCTCTCTCTGCCAGCCATTGCTCAACTTCTTCCCATGCGTCTGCTATGGCGGTCGGCCCCAAAGCTCCCAGGGCGGCCAGAGATTCTCGCGCCCCTTCCGTCTGCAACGCCGTCCCCCCACGCATCACCTTCGCAATTCCATCGGCGGTCTTCTGCGTTGCAAAGAATTCGCGACTCCCCGTCGGGGAACCTCAGGGTGCACTGCCATTCCTCCAATTCACCTTGCCGTACAGGATCCCCCAATTCGGACAGCCAGAGCCCAGAGTGCCAAATTGCCTCTCCATCCCAAATTAAGAACTCTTGCGCCTGCTGCTTGTGCAGCCCAAAAAAACGTTTCCAACACCGTCTCCTCGCTACTCTCTGCTGGACCTGGAAGGTGCGGATGCGCACAACCACAGCAGAAACAAAATCAAGGCTTGCAACTCAGAATGGCATACACTCTTGTGAGCTACCTTCAGTGCACGGCGATCCTGCGCAAGCGAAACCACTGGCGCATGTTGCTGGCAAACACTGCTCACAGCTCCATTCAACACGCTATACAAAACAGCTTTCAAAGCCACTCCACCCAACGACGCCACAGCATCTTGCAACTCCCTGACATAATGCTCCTCCTTCTTCCCCCTCCACGCGCACCCATCAAATGGACAATGCTGCCTTGGCAAAAACACTCACCCATAGCCTCTCCACAATGTGGAACACATCCTCCTCCATGGCTCCTTCCCCTGACGCTTCCATCCTCCAGGCATACGCCACAAGGATGCCCACCCAAGGTCTACACACACTCCCCCACTGCCGTATGAACACCCAGACCATGTCTCCCAATCGTTGTCATTTCACAGTTCAACTCCACTCCAGGTCGGCTCCCGTTATTGCTCACTGGTCTGATAATGTCAAAACCTTGACGTGCATTGCTTCCAATTGTGATACACATTAGCTGCCTGATGCTCGTTTGAGTCCTGGCAAAGCTGCAGCGCCGACTACATGAGGGCTTCTCAACCCAGTGGAATGGTTCACTCACCCTGCCTTCAACTTTCCTTCAATCCATTTCCCATCTCTGCTCTCATTCTTTGAAAAACCAAACACGCCCTAGCCGTAGTAGCCGGCGGAACACGCCAACGGCGGATAAATAAGAAACGCACCCTTTTGCAGTGGCAAATCACTGGAGGCTGAAAGCTTAGTAAGTGCTATCTCTCGGAGCATGTTGTTTGCGCAAGTGGAGGTTAGGAGAAAGAAACGATAGTATATCAAGTGGCACATGTCCAGTCAGTTGGACAAGTGCCAGTGAGATCATGCCCAGAGACATAACACTTAATAAAGCTTAATAAGAATAAAGCATCCCAAAGGCATTGCCAACTCTCTCGGTGAGCCTTCACGAAGTGTGTCAACGAAGTGTGGTGGCCAACGCTTATTAAACATTATGTCTCTCCCTTTTTGGCCACCTACACCAGGAGGCATAAACCTTAATAAGGGTAATGTTTCCCAACCGCTTGGCGTCGCTTGCTCTCCCACCCAATCATGTGTGTACAACACTACATTCTTGGGGCGCACAACTCTTATTAAGATCTTATATCTGGGGGGTGGAAGTTGGGGGGAGGGGTCAAGCACTCTATGATTACAGTCGGCGTTCAGGACCTAAAAACAATGACCTTCCAAATAATGCTGGGTCTTAAATAGCATAACCCGTCGCCCCTAGCACACAACCGAGGGTGTCTGAATAGAAACCCTACCACCAAAAGTAGTAGCACCAGTACTAGTACAAGTAGTATGGACCAGCATTAGTATTAGTATTGGTAGTGGTAGTGGTGGTAGTAGTAGTTGTAGTAGTAGTAGTAGTAGCAGTAGCAGCAGCAGTAGTGGTGGGTAGTCGCTCGAATTAAGCCATGGTCTTAAACGGCAACAATAGCAGAAACATAGAAACAAGAGTTTCTTGAAAAAAGATCACCCTCGGTGAACCCACTTTGTATTATTTCCTCCTGTTTAACTATTCAGGGTGTGGGAATAATATGGAATAATTTGACGAAAAATTATTGCTATTCTCTCCCATTACAGTCAACCGACATTTCGAGTTCCCAGACCAGGGAGTTTGAACACCTCATGAATAACAATCTGCAGCGGCAAACCGTTCGGATGCTTCCTTTCAACCAAGCATGTGCTTGATCATCTGTCCAAAAGGGGGATCAGAACCCGGCCAACCGGCGGGTCCTGTCTGACATTCCTAGGGATGGCATACCCAGAAGCAAACGCTGTTTGAGGTCCCCTGGCGAAATGAGCAAATCATGAAGTTAGGTTGCCTCAAACTGGGATGCAGCCATGAAGTCGATGTCTCTAATGTCCCAAACGCAGCAAACATGTACTACATAGACGTTTTGGTCGAACTAGTTGCCCCAAAGAAACATTACGAAGACATGTCAAGAACCACATGTCAGTACCACATTGTACCATTAGTTCCCTCAACCTCTCAACCTCACACGTACTACTTGTACTACTTGTACTACTGTACCGTCGGACCTTTTGTTCGATCCAGGATCACATCGGCCAGGAAAAGGTCACAAACAGAGACTCCAAAGAGGTCACTGACCGGCCAGGTCCCACCGAACCAGGTCTCTCCACCGAACCCTCGCGCGGGAAACCCGGGCCTCCGTTCGATGTCAGGAGCCGAGACTGGAGGGCGAGGGCCGCGAGGGCGGAAGGCGCAACACGCAAGCATTGGCCAGTGGATCCAGTAATTCAACTGCTTAGTATGTTGTACACATAAGCGGTCTCAATGGTTCAGAACTGACCTTCCTGGCTGTCCGTCCCCACATCCCCAAGATCAGTCGATACACGGAAGATGCATTAAAATTTAGGTACCATTCTGTTGGAAAAACCGGTGACTACATGAAAGCGGTCCATGGACTGGACCGAACGGCCGCCATGGGAAAGCCCACGTTCGGAACGACGAACGAAGGAACCCCAGGAACCAGCCAAATGAGGCGAATGTACATGTGGCAGCTTGTGGTGTTTACATTACTTTGTTTAAAGATATAGTCGGTAAACACACAACGAAGTTCTTGACTCGAACCCGAAAAGTGAAACATTTGGATAGATTTTGAGCGGGGTGAAACTAGACGACGAGTGGCCCGAAAGCATTTTTCATCACGTAGGAAGTCAGAGTGCGAGTTATCGGTTAAGTGTGCGGTGTGAAGTGTTACGTAGGTTTCCTGCTAGTAGCTTAAGGGCAAGAGCACCTAGTAGCGTCCTGCCAGGATCTAGGTAATCGACATAGGTGTGTAGTTGTGTTTTTCATGGAAACCCTCCACCAATGGGTCGTGGTCTATTGTCCTTCCAGGGGGTCAAACGGGGGTCTTCTGTATCCAGGATTCATCAACCGATTCTGACCCAAGTCTTTGGGCAACGGATTCGCCCCGACCGCGCCGAACGCAGACTCCATGACACGTATTCGCACCGAGTGGAGTTGATTCGGCGATCTCGATGTCCTACGTGATGAAAAAATGCTTTCGGGCCCTTTCCTTCTTGTTACTAGTAGTAAGGCCAGGAGCCCCTAGTAGCGTCCTTCCTCCTAGTAGTTTCATCACGTAGGAAGTCTGAGTGCGAGTTATCTGTTAGGTGTGCAGTGTGAAGTGTTAAGTCGAGTGAGTTGAGGTACTGTGTGGGTCTCTGTGTGTGTATCTATGTCCGTGTGTATATGAGTCTCTGTCTATGTGTGTGTGTCCGAGTAAGTTGAGGCAGTGCGTGGGTCTCTGTGTGTGATGTGTGTGTGAGTCCCTGTCTGTGTGTGTATGTCCATGTCTGCTGCTGGTGAAGGTCTTCTCTGTACATATACTGAATGAATTAGCGCGCAGGCCTCCCAAACCCCCCCACCGGCGGCCACGCGGTGACAGCCCAGCTCATCGTCGCGTACCAAAGTTGTACGACCAAGTCGCCAGTTCTCATCTTCCAGCTCCCCAGCTACTCCGCGTACTACAGTTGTACTACAAAGTCGCCAGTGCTCATCTTCCAGCTCCACAGATACTCCGCGTATTCAACTTGTACTACCCACTCACCAGTTCTCATCTTCCCATTGCACTCCCCAGCTACTCTGCGTACTAAAGTTGTACTACCAAGTCGCCAGTTCTCATCTTCCAGCTCCCCAGCTACTCCGCGTACTAAAGTTGTACTACAAAGTCGCCAGTTCTCAGCTTCCAGCTCCACAGATTGCTCCGCGTACTCAAGTTGTACTAGAAACTCGCCAGTTCTCAGCTTCCAGCTCCACAGCTACTCCGCGTACTAAAGTTGCACTACACAGTCGCCAGTTTTCAGCTTCCAGCTCCACAGATTGCTCCGCGGACTAAAGTTGTACTACAAAGTCAGCAGTGCTCATCTTCCAGCTCCCCAGATACTCCGCGTACTCAAGTTGTACTACCCACTCGCCAGTTCTCATCTTCCCACTCCCCAGCTACTCCGCGTACTACAGTTGTACTACCACGTCGCCAGTTCTCAGCTTCCAGCTCGCCAGCTACTCCGCGTACTAAAGTTGTACTACAAAGTCGCCAGTTCTCAGCTCCCACCTCCACAGCTTGCTCCGCTGCTCAACGAATCGCACTCTCGCCTGCATTTCGCGCACTCGACACGCACGATCTCCGCAGAGGGTCGCGCGGTAATTTCACAAATCGCACTCTCGCCTGCATTTCGCGCGCTCGACACGCACGATCTCCGCAGACGGTTGCGCGGTACTTTCACAAATCGCACTCTCGCCTGCATTTCGCGCACTCGATACGCACGATCTCCGCAGAGGGCTGCGCGGTAATATCACGAATCGCGCTCTCGCCTGCATTTCGCGCACTCGACACGCACGATCTCCGCAGAGGGTCGGGCGCGGACCGGACAAATCGCACTCTCGCCTGCATTTCGCGCACTCGACGCGCACGATCTCCGCAGAGGGTTGCACTTTCGGCTGACGCTGTTCGTCCCACCCTCCGCCTTTAAGAGAGAATTTATAGAGTGGGGAAATGTTTTTTCATTAGGACATCTCCCGTGCTAGTTTTCCATACTCACACTTGCCTACTCATTGCATGCTTGCATACTCATTGCATGCTTGCATACCCATCACTTGCATACTTACACTGCGTGCTTGCATACCCATCACTTGCATACTTACACTTGCATACTTTGACACTTGCATACTTTGCACTTGGATGCTTTCGCTCTTCCCCTTACACTGTGGTGGAAGTGTCAGTGTGTAACTGTAAGTGTCGAAGTGTCAGTGTATGTAGTGCAAATGTGGTGGAAGTGTCAGTGTGTAAGTGTAAGTGTCGAAGTGTCAGTGTTCAAGGGATTTTCCGGAAGAACCCTTCGCAATGCTTTCGGGAAAAAGGTACAACATAGTGTGGAAGTAGCAGTTTGTACTGATATGACCTAATCTTGGAGGTTGCCCACGCAGAGTCAATAGTCATGCCCCAAAACAGATTTCAACAGAACAAGACGCTTACATAATTCCGGTGAAATGCGTAAAAGAGGACATTGAAGATGCGGGTGCGTAGCTTGGACATTCGAGCACATGCATGCCTTCAATGTCAGGCGTCTATATATTATCAAAGTCCATTGATGTGTTGCAATGACCAATTGAGATGAAGGAAAACACCTCAAACTGTGGCACTCTAGCAACCACGATACCGAAGAAGTATGTCACCAAGTCCAGCTCCCCAGATCCTGTTGAGGATCACCTCAAACTCCTCCTCATGAAAAGGCCGTGTTGCACACTGTCTGCGGGGGGGAGCTGGACAGGTGACCGTTGAAATTGCAGAGAGATTGAATGATCGGAGCTTTTCTCTCTTTCGTCCGATGGCAGGTCGAAAAGCGCCACAAACAATCGCAGGAAGAACCACAATGAGACGCCCCAACTGTCATCGCGACGCTGTGATGTGGTGACTTGGAGATGAAGGCTACGCTTGAGTGTGACAAAATGATGCGGAGGACACACTCAAGACCTCTTCAATCCATCAACCTTTGCCTCTTATGCGTGACTGCCCTTCACTTCACTATGGGTTGGCTGACCGTTTTAGGATGAAGATGAGCAGGGAGTGTTTGTAGATGTAGTCTTTGTCTTCTCCGCAGGCCTCGGTGGTGTCGCCTCGTCGTGTTTGCCACCTCATCTCGTCGTCCTCTCGTATACTATGTGAAGTGGAGTGTTTGTTTCGGTAGTTGCGCGCGGAACAAAACGATGGACATTGGGCTACCCAGCCATCGAATTGTTTGTCTCAATCTTGCGAGGCCCATCCACTCGCAGTTGGACAGGAACTCCTGAAGCGTGGGGGCTATAGTTGTACAGATTGCACCCTGATTTGGCAAGCCATGCCAACTCCGACAGCAAAACATGTTGAGCGTTGAAGTCTGATCCCGAATCTCTTCATCAAACAAAGTTGGGTTGAGGAGCTTGTGGGCATCCCAGAAAGATTTTGCCTCAGCGTGGGTTTTGTCCCACAAAGGTTGGTCGGTTTTCATGTGCCACGTGGGAGACGCGCGTAGGACCTGAAATATCTTCGTTCATGCGCTTGGCCACCATCATAATGTTGAATCCAATTAGTATAATGGGACGGACAAATAACAAGTTTTCGCCGAATTACTCTCACACCCTGAATAGTTTAATGGGTCGGAATAATAAAAAGTGTTTTCACCCAGTGTCTTTGTTTTAATTTGTTTGTTTTTCTATTGTTCTGCTATTGCTCACACTTTAACATCCTTACTTAACTCTCCTGAGATTTGCTTGATTCATGGAATTCTGACCTGAAAGTCATTTTCAAAAACGCTTATAAAAAACTCAACGATTGCATTGCTCTAAACAATTTTTCAAGGGACTAGTACACAAGCACAGGGTAATTGAATAGTATGAAGTGTTCAGGGGGGTGGGATTAATAAGCAAACTTGGAGCCCTACGGGAAAAATCTAACTTTATTATTGTTCTGCTATAGCTGCCCGTTGCAATCCTTACTTAACTCTTCCGAGGTCTGCTTGATTCATGGATTTTTTAACCTGGAAATCGTTTTCAAAAACGCTTCTTAAAACTCAACGCTTTCATTGCTCCAAACAATTTTTCAAGGGGGTAGTACACAAGCCCAGATTAATTGATGAATTGTTTAGGGGGTGGGATTAATAAGCAAACTTGGAGCACTACGGGAAAAATCTTTTTTATTGTTCTGCTATAGCTGCCATTTGAAATCCTTACTTAACTCTCCTGAGGTTTGCTTGATTCATGGAATTCTGACCTGAAAGTCGTTTTCAAAAACGCTTATAAAAACTCAACGATTTCATTGCTCTAAACAGTTTAGACAATGTTTCAAGGGACTAGTACACAAGCACAGGGTAATTGAATAGTATGAATTGTTCAGGGGGTGGGATCAATAAGCAAACTTGGAGCCCTACGGTAAAAATATGACTTTATTATTGTTCTGCTATAGCTGCGCTTTCAAATCCTTACTTATCTCTTCTTCTACTACTACTACTACTACTCCTACTGCTACTGCTACGACTACCACTACCACTACGACTACTACTATTACTACTTCTTTTGGTGGCGGTGATACTCTTCAGTCCCCCTGGATTGTTTGCTAGGGGGGGCCCGCTTACTAATTAGGATCAAACATTAGTGCAAAATGACGGCTGGAGTCGTAGGATTCTGGTCATTTGGCCAATCTGCAGCCGTGGAAGGCCAATCTACAGCGACCAGGCCTCGTTTGCTAAGAGAACAGGGGAAGGCTTAAATTCTCCTGCCTGTCCTTGGCTCCGCCAACTTCGGCTTTTGGGATCAAGTTGAGCACCTTGTCCCCGCGGTAACGCAACACTTCGTTTTGCAGGGGTGAAAGTCCAAACAGCTAATCCCTATTGAAAAAGCATCGGCGTCGTCTTTGTCAATAGGGGGTCCCCCAAATAGGGGGCCCCCCAAAGAAGGAAACCTATAGGAAGATCTTCAAAACCAAAAAGCCGCCTAGGAAGTGTTATAGAACCCTTAGTTAAACTTGTAACAAAAATTGAAAAACATCCGGATCAAAGGTCTTTCTCCTCCCTTTGCAAAAACATCTTTGTTAAAATAGTGATTCTTCAACAGTCTTCACTTATATAGACTGTTTCACAAGACTAACAACTAAACACTTTGAAAGGTGATGTCGCTGTGCCATGCGGCTTGTGCGGCTCTGTGCCATTGGGGGAAGGCTGTGCATGTAAATGCGGCGTGGCGATAGTGAGGGCCACGGTTGTTGGTGATTAGTGGGCAGTGGGCATCTAATAAATTATCAACACAAATGTACCTATGCTTGTGGTTTAGTGGTGTTTATCAAGGCGGCAATGTAAAAAACATATATCAACTATATTTACGGAGAGTCTCCGACATGCATTTTTTAGAAACTTGTGTGTGCGGTTTTTTAAACTAGGTAATTACTCGGGATTACGCCTCCGAACCTGGTAGCCTTGTCGAGCCCGGTACGAATCAGCGTTTCCACGTTTTTCCACTTGGCGCAACACATTTTGCATGTGCACGTGCCTGCTGGCAGCAGCTTTTGCACTCGTGGTGTGCCTTGTGTTCCCGTTGGGAAGCATTCGTTCTCCGCAGCATTAAACATGCTTTAGGCGCAGCAAGGCCAAAAGAAGCTGCGCGCACCTAGCAGGACATTTTGCACTGTTACACTTGTGGTGTGTGTTCCGTCTCCGTTACGATTCTGTCTTTTTACGCATAAGCTTAGCTAGCTGGTGCTCATTGAAGAAACTAAGGAGCCAAAGGCATGCATAATCGCAATTAGACAGGGGCCCAAGAAGCTAGAGCAAGTTCTTGCTATAGTAGTTAGGATCAGTTTCATGCGTCACTGGCGTCCTTTTTCGGCATGGTGTTCGTTTGGACCTCACGGAACGTGGGGCTACCTCGCCCTATGCTTCGACTGAGGATGACGACCTTGAGGACTCTGCTTCTCTTACGGTTGAGAGAACCCTGATGCAAGCTCCAGCCCTTGTGCTCTGGGAACAACGTTTTGCAGCTCTGATGCGCTTTCCTTCGTCTTGCCCCCCTAGCTCCTGGACCCAGTTCCTGCTCCCGTTTGTGCTCCCTAGCTCCTCCCCAGCCCACTTTGCATTTAGCAATTGGATTTGGGTTCGGTTTGGGAGCTTTAGCAACACGTAGTTGGAAGGGTTGGACAATCCCAGTCAATCGAGTTCCTACCTGTTGTTTGGTTGCAAAGCTGGGCTAAATATGTCATTTTACATCTTGTAGCTGGGTCTCCTGGAGCACCCTGTATTAGTATGGACTGTTCGGATCTGTTGTCAGGGAAAGTGCTTGATTTGATTGTTTCTAGCTGTTGCATACTCTTGACTGATCTCACTTTCAGTCAAAATGACCATCTAGTCCACCCAGGGTTGGTTCACAGCATGTTCATGCTTCAAGCTAATATGTTGTTTCAATATTATTGTTTTTGTTCACGTTTGCTCTATAGCACCTGGTCGCCGGCCATAGTTGCTCAGGTCTTGCACACCAGCACAACTATGAAAAGGCAAGGACATGATGCATGTTCTCGTTTCTGTTGGTCGAGCAGGTTGCCCACAGCATTTGTTTGTTTCGTAAGTCATTGGACCCTGCCTTCTTCCTACTACAAGTAGTGTGCTGTCAAAGTTCAATGTTGGTCGATCTCGACCATCCATGAATGGTTTAAGGAAACATCGGCACAGACCGTGCTTGGAACCCCAATATTGGTCCGTTTGGGTGTCCTGCATCGTTTCCGGGTCAAGACCCATCACGGAGAACCCATTTCTGAGAAACAAACATGGGTAGAGAAATCCTCAATAGCACCAATACTTTGGGTTTTCATAAAGCATGGTTTTCTCAGAAACCATTCACAAACATGGTCCAATAATTGTTGTTTCTTTTCATAAAACCAATAAATTACGTTGGGTTTACCCTTCATAAAACCAATGTCCAAGAACAAAAACCACCGGAGGTTTATGAAGGGTTCCATTGGTTCCATTGGATGGGAAAAAGCATAAAACCTTGGTTCCATTGGTTCCATTAAACATCATAAAACCATAATGGTTCCATTGGACCTCCACCGGTGCCACCGGAGGTCGCTCACGCCTGTCGTCAGCTCGATGCCGGACTTGGACGGCGGAACGGTGGACTCCTACCGGTCGGAGCGCGGAGAGAAGTCCAATCGCTGCAAGTCCAGTCTGGCCCAGTAAAACCTGGTCTTTTACAGATATATACGTAGTGTTGTTTTTGTTTCTTTTTCTAAATATAGCTTTTGTATGACCAACTTCAGTAAAACAAAGTCTTTGACTTATAGATGAAAACGGTGGACCAGCCTCGCACGAGCGGAACTGGAGACTTCCGAACGTAAAGGGTGAGCAACCTTGGGGCGATTGGTTGAATTCTGGGACCGCCGTTTGTTTGAATGCCTTGCGAATGAACAAAACACACGCAAATGATGGGATATGGGGTGTATACAATTGGATGTGGCCCATCCAAACCTCTAACTACTCTCTGCTTGTACGACACACATATATAGGATTTCCAATGACGCAATAACATGTTTTTAGTGCCAAAACAATCGCAAGCTTAGCACCTGAAAGGCAACCAAATGTGATTCATTGGACTGTCTGCTGCAATCTTTCTGTTGTTTTGTATATATAGATTCTCTTGCCAAAAGAATCGGTGTGGAAAAACAGGAAAACATGGTAACATAATGAAACATAATCCTTCCCAGAACGGGTGATGTAGTCAACGTTCAATTGTGGCTGGTGTTCAACAGGGAAAGAATGACTAATGACCCCCCTTGCTACAAATCCTTCGAAAAACCGTGGGATATCATTTAAAACATCATGTCCTAACACCATGCACCGGCAGCGATGCGGCAATGCGGCCCTTGCCAAACCGGACATCTCCTGTGGTTTGAACGCGAGCCGCCCCCAGGCTTCTTCGAAACTGGTGAAAAGGCCTCATCATCGCCACTTGGCCACACTCCAAACGCGCTGCCCACTGGGCCGGTTGGTAGACAAAACAGGCCGGTTGCACAATGAGTTGTTTCTCGCAAATGAGGTGCCATCCAAACCTTTCTTTCACGTTCATGAGCGTACAAAGCATCTAAGCGCAATGCCTGTACATGATGAATGCTTGAATTCAGCCATCCAAACCCTTCACAAATGGAAGCAACTAATTCCTGCTATCCTGTGGGGTCATGTCGTTTGACCACAGGAAATCAATGCAGACCAATAATCAGCTCTTTTGATGTATCCAGGCCATGAAGTTTAGAATGGATCAAAGATCGGGATGAACCAAAGATTTCTCTCAGGACCTTCAAAGGGACATGTTGAGATCCCAGGAGGTCACTTAGTCTCTAAAGAGGTCACAAACAGAGACTCCAAAGAGGTCACTTCGGCCAGGTCCTGGTCCTTGGGTGTTTTTTCTTTTGTGTGTTCTTGTTCAAGCTGGAATAACCCGTTTAAGGACAAAAAACATGTATACTGTATATATATACACATGCATTATACATCATATAATAAATCAAAACATATGAACACTATATGTGGGTGTCATTCCATTCTTTGGTCCAAAATTCATCTCATGGTTTTGAGCAAAAGCACACACAAACCTTTTGCAAGGGTTGAACCAGGATGTTGATATGAAGAACCCCGACGCCCATCAAAATCATGCTTTATGAACTTCGCTGAGGTTCCGAATTCCGAACATCTTCGGGTCAAAACCGGGTGACCCTGGTTAACCAACCAGGAACTCAACCTACCGGCAACCGGGTTCCGGGTGCTCCCTTTCCGCCTCGACCCTCGCAGGTTCGCACCTTGGGACGCTGTGAGCTGTGAGCCCGATTCCTGGCACCAAAAACAGCATACGCGCGTCTCGGAATACGGAGTGCTTTGCCATTATGGTTTCCAAAGCTTGGATGGTCAATTGGCCAGTCTTGGACATTTCCGAGTGAAACCAACACGGAGAGGTTGAAACAAAATGATTCCATTGAAGTTCAACAACCTTCCAAAACGCATCAAAACGCCATCCTAGTTTTCAAAATGTTGAAGTCCTCCAAGAAAGAACCATCTCGATTTTGTGGGCCCTTGACCCAAATTCTATGTGCATAGCGCAAATAAGAAGACCTCCCCCAAACCGTCCTGACCCCGTGGGGTCGGTATTAGGAGTTAGACCAGTCTACCCATTGGTCGACCCCCATGGGTAGAAAACACGTGTTTCGGTGGCTGGCCTTGAAGGTCCACGTGGCTTGGGAGACCGTTTCCGTGAGCCTGGTCCACTGGCTGACACTTCCTCAGATCAACGGGTCCCCTAAGGAGCCGGGACGCGGTCCATGCGGCCGAAGGGATGAGGTGGACACGACCGGCCAAAAAAGTGGTGATCGATTGAACTCTCTCAGCCAAACGCGAGACTGGACCCTCCTAAGTAGGGGCCATACCCGAATCCTTTGGAGGGGTCCAGACCCGAACCAATCCGGGATTGGTTTTGAGGGACCAAAGCCTGTTTGGAGCGCCTGGGCAGCTTCATCAAAAAAGACGTGATCTTCTTGCGGAAAACATATCCCTTCCAAAGACCTCTACCCACTGGCTGACTGCGGATTTGTATGATTGTGCAAACTGACCGGTCGAGCCAGGAACAGTCCGCTTTGTCATCTCTGGGGGTCACTTGCAGCAAGCCTTTAGGGATGTCCCCCGGATCATGAAACCCTGACCGAGGTGACTTCTGTGAATGCACAAGCAAATTATTATACCTCGAGTGATCCCTGCCATGACATTTCAATCCCTTGTCTTCATGCCATGGTGAGGAGCATGTTGCTTTGTTCCACCACACAACTTTCATAGACCACAGCTTAAGGCGTTTGAAAAAAAGTGGTCATGACCCATGACTTCTCATGGACTTCCGCTCTCCGTCGCTCTTTTTTCATTGCTCGTGTCCCCTGGAGCATCCCCTTGGCGTGCTTCGCCTGGCACGGGCATTTTTCGTATTTTTCGACCGCCCTGCCCCCCCCCCCTACAGGTGTCTCGTGCGGCGTCTCTTGGAAGGCTGCGTGCTATGCAATTCGTTGCGGCTGCGTCCAGCCTTCCACTGCAATCGTTTGTCTTTCAAGGCCTTCGGAAGAAGGCGGCCAAGTTCTCCGCCGTTTATGAGGGGCGATGGTCCAGTAGGACCCGGAATACGGTCGACATACAGGACCCCCCCAAAAATATCAATAAATAAATATATGTATATATATATAGGGAGAGAGAGAGAGAGAGAGCGAGCGGCAAAACCTCTTATAGAGTGCGTGTGATATCCTTTTGCGTAGTCGACTGCACTAATCTTGCAGCTCCCATGAAATGTGCGTGTCTGTTATTGTCTGATACATGTGCCAAACAATCGTGCAGAGTTCTCTCGGCCCCTTACCAGCCGTAGGACAAAAATTCTCATATATATATATATATGTATATATTTATTTAAGAAGATATAAGTATACGATGAGGGCTGGGTCCAAGTGTAATATTAAATTAGTCGTCTGAGTCAGGTCTCCTAGCACGGTTGCACGAGAAACTCGAAAACAAATTAATTATGCTCCAGTCTGTTTCTGCGATTTCGGTCGAAGGCACGACGGCACGATCATCTGAAAGCAGGACCTGGCCAAATGGAATTTCCTCAGAAGAGGCGTCTGTGGTCCTGTTGTTGGATTTTTGTGACGCAACCAAACTCTGAAAACAATCTAGTTCTTTGTGTTACTTGGTCAACCGGTTCTACGGCACCGTGCGTTCCCTCCCCAACAAATCCGTTGTTAGGTCGACCCGCCCGCTCTCTCCGTGTGGCCAGAGAAGCCGTCATGAGTTCCGGGACCACGGCGCTACCTCCGGTGGGTCAAAGACAAGTCTGCCCAGAAGGCCCCACACTTCTAGTATATTAGGCTTAAGGCTAAAAACATGTGCCAGAAGGTGCGCTGAGAGGATACGACCATACCACAAGTCGGGATTCAACTGGCTCACGGACCTGACGTTTGGCAAACGCCTTGCATCGTTCACGACTACTACTTTTCATTGCAAGGTCTGGCCGGAAGAAGAGAAACATATACTTGAACAAAGAACACACTACAATGGATCGATGACGAAAACATGATTTGCCCTCATCCACAGCTTTCCTTGATTGGTGTCCGGAGCGTTCCAAAAATGGAGCCCTCTTTCTTAGTAGGAGGCGGAACGCACAGCGCTTCACCAAGCTATTTGCGATAGCGAGCCATCTGAGTGACAGCAAACAACTTCAAACAACTGCAGCGGCTTTCCACAGCCTTGATGACAGCCATCGTGAGAAGCTGCTCAAACAAGCACAGCAAATCAGCTTTGCTGTGGACAACGCCTCGCAAACAAGCGCAGCAACACAAATGAACATGCTGCGGACATGTCACCTTTGAATAAGTAAGTGTGTTACCTTCTTCAAACCTCGACATGAGGCGTGCTGCAGAAACGTTATAGAAACGTGCTGCAGAAGCTGTTTGGCTTCACATCATGAGCCTGCCTACGCAAGCTTCCCAATAGAATAAACCTTTGTTTCTTGCAGGAGAGCTCTTACAGGAAGGGTAGGAGCCGGCAAGTGTGCCCTGGCGTGGTGAAGCGACTCAAGAAAAAACTGATGAAACTTGAGAAAGTGACCCGAAGGCCTGCTGGAAACATGCATCCCGCTCGATGCCTGTAGAGATCACATTGCGTTTCTTCAAAGTAGCCTCACCGTCCTTGGCGCAAGCTCCTTGGAACTGGGAAGTGGTCATCAAATGAAAGCAAGATTTTGGCTTGTGTTTCAGCCACCTCTCATAGGCGGACCTATCTGAAACAATGGTCCATTGGGAGTATGGCTTGTGTGAGGCACCTTTCAGTAAGCGATACAAAGAGATTCCCTGCAAGGCCACATCAAAGTAGATCTACAAACGTCTCACACCCACAGCGGGAGCAAACCTCACTTGGAGGGGCTTCTTGCCATCAGAGGGCCCCTGAAAACAAGTGTCGTCCATCAAGGTACATCCAAGCAACCACAATACCATTTGGGCTCTTGTTGATGCCTGCTCTGATGTGGCTGTCAAGATCAAGTCTGCTTCCAAGATGTTCTCAACAAAGGTTGAGTCAGGAAACTGAGATTTGATATGTTGCCTTTGGACGCCCTGAGTAATATTGTCGATGAAGATGTGCTGCACCTTGGCACCAGCCCTGCGCAGACATGCCCCTCGAAGCGGCCCTTTTGCAAGCGGAGCTGATCCAGGCCGCGGCGGAGCTGGGATCAGCTTGGTTTTGGTGGCCTTCTTGACTTTTTTCTGCTTGGCTAGCATGGAACGCGCAAGCTTCAAGGAGCTCTTCACCTTCGAGCACTGCAGATCATCCGGCAAAAGCAAGCCTTGCTTGGAGGCCTCATAAGATTTCCCCGCCAACCTGGCCTTTTGAAAGCGCACCTCGGCCGAGGCATGGATATGCTCTGCTATGAAGCTGTCTTCCCCAGGTTTCAACTTCTTGATGGCCTTCCTCACTGCCTTGACCCGGCGTCTCTCAATCGACAATGACAATGAGGACACATGCTTTCTGGGCCCCTCACCATGTTCTTGTCCCGGCGAATCACTTTGCGCTGCCGTGATCCCTTGTAACATTTGGTCCAGATGGAAGAAGCTTTTTCTGCCAAAGTTGGAAGAGGGGTCTCACCAAATATGAGAGTCAGCTCCGATCTTCTTTTCGATGTGGCCAGCCGTGTCTGCCTTGCAGGGAAAAGACGTTCTGGCTGACTGAACAGGTGCTCTGTTCCACAGCTTGAAAACATCAATGACTGCCAAAGGGCAAGCAACTGTCGCAAATCAGGTAACTTGCAGCCAGGGCAACTTCCCATTTTCATTCTGGACTCCACTCCTTCGATGGCTGCACGCCACACAGCAACATTTGATCCAGCAAGGGCCTTCCTACGTCTGCAGGCCAATGGAAATGTAGCACGGTACTGCTCGACAAGCAAATTCTCTTCTAACTTGAACTGATTGCAAAGCCGCTTGAGGCAAGATGCGGTCTTACGCCAATTGCACTCTGCCAGGAAAGATGGGTCCAAATTGAAGATCTGGAAGTTTGGGCAACACTCCCAGAAGGGAAACTCTGCGTCAATCCCAGCAAGCACTGCAGAGAGCCAGCTGTGCATTTCTTTTTGAAGTCGCACCCTGAATGCAGCGTGTGGCCACCAATGATCCGACTCTCCCCTGTCACATTGGCCATTCGGGCTGTGGAAAGAAATTGGTACACGTGGCCAACAAGCAATCCCTGTGCGTTGTCTGGCTGCCAAGCAAGACCATGGTGTCCAAAGAGCGCTTGCAATACATTTTTGAACTCATGCAGTGCAGGCTGCAGCTTCTCAGACTCCAACCTAAACCAGTCAACTTTCCGGATCAGCTTCAGGCCCTCATTGATTGCGTCCGCCTGGACAGCGGCCAAGATGAAAGCCTTCTCGTTGAACCGGCGAAGTTTTTCCTTCATGGGTTGCCCCTCTTTCCGGTTGGCCCGTTCCTTTGCTATTTCAACACAAGTGGCTAGGAATCTTTCAGGCATCACAGCCACATTCCATAAAGGTCTAGCTTCGCTTTCAAATCTCTGCCGCGCAGAGCCCAAGTTAGATCTTCTTCCAGCCAAAGGGCAACCAACCTTGCTGCCACACTCCATCCACGCGTCCCTGAGGCCCTGAAGGCATCGCTATTGTGAATCAGCTGGATGGCTGAACGTTTTCCATGCAAGAGCGCAGTCATGATGCTTTGCGCCTCTGGGCTCATGCGAACACAAGGTCTGCGCAAGCAAGATCGCAAGGAGTGAGCTTTATCCCCAACACGATCTTCACAACGCGGAAGCCCAATTGGCTTCAAAACCAAATTGCCCAAAGCTTTCTGATCCGCTGGACAGCCATCAGCATAAGCGCCTCGGATAGCCGTTCGCACTCGATGTTCGAAAGCTCCGTCTCTTTCGCCAATGGACCCCATCCGTGGAGCATTGCAAAAGCGAGTGGAAAAGCGGCGAATGGCTCTCTATTGATCGCCCGCTCGATCGAGCCAGCGCAACCACCAGGGTTTCGTTCCAATCCGAGCACCCCAAGAGCAGATTGTAGAGTTGCAGGGTTACGGTTGCATACGGAGAAAACGATCCATGACCAACACCCCAACACTCGGACAAAACTCCTTCGCCCCGTCTCTCTCTCTCTCTATCTCTGTGATGATTGAGACTCCGGGCGATGAGCTTTCTGATGGCGTCTTCCATCGATCATCGCGCCGAAATCAAAATATATATTGAAGGCAGCTCTATCATATCACATCTTGGATGTGCTGCTCATGACATGTTATTGTTGCTATTGTGAGCTAAATTCTGCTGGAAACGATTGTGAGCTATTGTGAAGTAGAGTGTGAAGTAGATTGAGCTATATTCTGCTGGAACGGCTTTGCAACATTTGAAGTAGATTGACACTGCCTGACCCCTACCAAACGGCGGCTGGCGCAGAGACGATCCGACGTTTCGAACGGATAAAACGATTCACGCAGGTTCTTTCTGAATGGCTGTGGGTCAAAAGTTGGGCACCCTGGTTGATTCCTGAAAATGAATCGATCCCTTCATAAGGGATGTCAACCTCCCAGGGTTTGGTTGGGCAGGTTTGGACTCACAGCCTTATAGCGACATCACCTGCGGCTGGTCCCTGCAAAAAAATGCATTCAGCAAAAGCAAGATAAGTGGTGCTGGGTGGCGCATTGCACACATAGATGCACTGGTCACCAGCCCTGCCAACACAGCTCATAACGCCAAACATGAGCAGCACCTCTGCGCATGTGAGCCTCCGTCCCAATCTAAATCGTGGCCGGCCGATGTTCCACAGCCACCACATCTATAGGAGCAGCCTCCACAGCTGGCTGGTGCGCCATGGCACGACTGCACACAAAATTGCAAGCCCAACACTTCTCGAGCCAAGTCGCTTTCAAAAAGCAGATGCTCTGTGACACCGTCCGTGTTAAAATGCAGTCCCCAGACTTCATCAAACTTATTGGTACTTTCTGATCCGCTCTCATCAAACAACTTTTCTGTTGTGTGTTGAGGTCCGGTAGTGCCCACTGCGATCCGGCACTTGCGGTTGGGGTCCGGTAGTGCCCTCTGCGATCTGGCGCTTGCTGTTGAGGTGTCGCCGAGGAGGAGGAGGAGGACCAGGAGGAAAAGAAGAGCTCTGATAAAATCCAACAACCCTCACAGCGGCAGCTGGGGAAAAACTCTTGTATTGTAGATCTTGTAGTCCCAGGAAGCTGTCAAGTTCGTTCTTCTCCAAGATGGTCGTTTTCGCAAACTGTTTCGCCCATGATATCACTACTCGGGCCCCCAAGAAAAAACACACATCTATATTCCAACATGTCTGGAGTCCCGAACCAATGATGATTTCGCTGGATGTTTGCTCTCTCGTTTTTGGGCCAATCCTTTCATTTCCATCCACAGTTCTTGGAGCCCAAGGCTTTTCCCCTTTTTTACCTTCACCGAACCGCGGGGTGCGCGGGAACTCCGCGGGGTTCGCCCAAGGATCCATCGCGGGGTTGGTCGGTCGGCTGAGTGGGCTTTGGATCTGCGGATTCGGTGCTCGTGGGATCCGCAGTCGACTCCAGGACGTCCTCGTGGGATCTGCCACGTGTGGCATCTGTGCGAAGGTGAGGCGTTCTTTTTGTTAAAGCCCCCGAAGAAGAAGCTAAGGGGTGCCTATATGTGTCTATTTGGTGTGTCCATAGCACAAGCGTGCCCTCTTGGTAGGCATGCGAGTGTGTAGTAGCATGCGTGAAGCCCGGTTGGAGGCACCCGGTTGGAGGCACTATGGAAGTTCATAGAAGTTCCCCGTCTCAGGGGTACGGCATATAGGTGGGCACTGGGATGCCGTACCTGGAAATCATCCGATCTCGAAGTCAAGGATACCAGGTATTGTCTTGGGTCATTCACCGTTGCGGGGACAGGCAGGGTATTCATCGACGAAACTATGGTTTCTACTGAAGACCCTTCCTGGGGTTCCCTCGGCCCTTTTTTAAGCGAGAAGAACCTTGCGAGACTGAGAACACGCTATTATTTGATGGTTCTTGGTTTTTGAGAGCAGGTTAAAGAGGCGAAGAAAGCATGGAAAAAGGTTCGGGTAAGCTTTGCCTTTGGAACAAAAGAACATATACTTTTTTTAATCATAGCCTCCACACACGAACATGGAACCTAAGGAATGGACCAGTGGTTATATGGCTTTCATGTGGCCCCGTGCAGGGGAGAGATGCCCGTATTCGGCCTTGTTCCCCGTGGTCACTCCGAGTTCCGACAAAAAGAAGCTTGGGCGATCCGATTCCGTCGCTTCTTCAAGTGAGAACGTGAGAACCGCAATAAATGACTTTCCAGAAGCAAGACGAGCAGTCAACTTACTTCCTACATCTATTTCCTTCATAGTCAAAATATGTCCAAAACGCTTTCAATGCTTAGGTGCCAAATCTGCGGTGGTTTCTTGGCACTTCAAACCCTGCCAAGCCAAAGTGTTGTCACATCTGATCTTGATTGCTTGTCACTGCCCAATTCTCCCAGTCCTCACTGGCAGGATGTTGAAGCGGAAGCGCCGGATCCTGCACCTGACAAACGCCGGATCTTAAAGAGCTCTGACACCGGTCTCACACACCTCGACCGGTCTACTATGTGCTCCCCATCCAAGCACCATCCAAACTGGGAGCTGCTGGCAGGTGCTGCTTGGATATTGTGAGCCATCTGCCCGTCCGCTCCTTTACCTCCTTTACCTTCCATCCCTGAACACCCTGACCTCGCCCTCTGCGTGGACGTCGTCGGAGGTTGGAGAGCTCGGACGTGCAAACTCCTCGCAGCGGGGCGTGGGATTGGGTCTAAGTCCCAAGGGATATCAGGGAACCCAATCTGAAGAAATCCTGAAGCCCTGGGAAGATATTCTAAAGTATTACAAGATCTTTTTGGATGCATGGTTTTTGTGAGGTCGTGCAAATGTCAAAAGATGTGTATTTTTTTCCAGATTGTAAGATCCATTTGGAGAAGGCATGCAGTTCATCTAGACTTGGATGAAGCCACATGTCTTGTTTTTCATGATTTTGGGAGGAACAAAGAGTTTATCACTACCTTACATTGGTTTCCTAGACGGTATGTGTTTCTTCGTGTCCTTCCCGTTTGGCAATGGTGCTATGAAAGAACGACTTAGGTATGCATAGATCGGAGAGCGCGGGGTCGTGGATGATCATTAGGAGCAGTACATCTGAATTTGGATTTGACCAGGACATATATTGCTGTCTCAGGTCACTCTGGTTAATGTGCTTCCATCAACAAAGTCAGATTCACAAAATGGGCTACACATGGCTACACACCACCCCGTCTTCCATTCTTGAGAAGATTCAAGTGAGGCATGATCTTTTGTGCGACTCATGAACAATCCACATCTCGCGCAATCATGGGTTCTTGTTCACCCGCTCTGTTGCTTGATACATCTACCAACTAATTCAATAAAGGGCTCCACTCCCTCCGGTCTTTTTCCTTCCAGCGCCCCTCAACACTCTGACCTCGCCCCTAAGATGGTGGGACTGGGGTGGGTGCCAGGAGGGTCCAAATACCTTCTGAGGAGGCACGACTGAGCCCTAGGGTTTATCACTGAAAGTTGGGGATCATGTTGCATACGTCGTAATGCCAAAAACACTGTTAAATGTTTTGCCTGACTCCCAAACATAGTGATGTCAATCGTTCTCTTCCCTGTGTCTTCCTCTGTTGGACCCCACGTTCACACCCTTTCCAAACAGGTGCTTCGTGAGCATTGAGATTGATCAAGATTCTTCTCCGGAACAAGAACAGGACCGCGCTCTGTATACTCCACTCACTATAATACTCACTGTATACTCACCGTATAACTCTTTCCACCACCGACCCCCGCCCCCAAACGTCCACGAGCTCGTCCCCGCTGAGAACGGCCGCTCGCCGAACGGCCTCCGTCCCCTCGGGCGATCGCTCCACCGCGGCGTAGTGCGTCGCGAAGGCCTCCGCCGCGTCGGCCAAGCGCGCGCCCTCGGGGAGCTCGGGCTCCTCCGGCGCGGGGGAGGCGAGACAGGTGGTTTTTCAAACAGGCAGCCGTCGTGTGAGCCATGGAACATGATTGTGAGCCATATATGGTATACTGGAACCTGTACTGGAACTATAGTGAGAATGAAGGGGACACTCAAAGTATCATCAAATCAGATGAAATCAGTCCAAAACCTCGAAGCTGAGGTGTCCTGCTCTTCTTCGTTCGTGTAGGAGAAGAGACCAGCAGCTTGTGTGGCGAAGGCCTCTGTTGCCTGGGTCCACTCCGCCAAACCACTTTCCACTGCCTCTGCCAGTCCCGCTGTGCCAGGATCCTCACTGGGCGGAAATATCCCTTCAAGCGTCTTACTTGGGGTCTTTCTGTCCTCCTTTGTTCTATCCGTCCATCCATCCATCCGTCTTTCCTTTTCTCTCTTGCTCTTGCTCTCGCACTCCCTCTCGCGCTCTCTCTCTCTCTCTGCGTCTGAAACGATACAAACGCAACCGCAACTAAAAAGGACACCAAGGTGTCCTGGGTTTTCTCTTCCTCGACTTTGTGGTAGGAGAAGAGGCCAGCAGCTTGTGACGCAGCATGTGATGCAAACGCTTCTGCTGCGTGTGTCAGCTTGGTGAAAGACCCAGCTTCACCTCCTTCTGCAGCTGCTTTTGCAGGTGCGTCGGCAGCATCCTGACATTGTGAACGAACAAACGCTGTTCTGTACTCACCCGGTATAATACAATATATGATGGTTTTCTTTCGCGTCTACTGAGTCCTTTCAACTCTTGGTTCTGAAGAGCGTGCACTCAATCCACTCAGCCATGATAGTCCGGTTCGTGGCCTGGTTTTCAGGGGTCAGAGTTCTCATGTTCAGGTAAAGGTAAACATTCACATGACCAACAAACGCATAGCATATGTAATATAATCATATATCTATCAACCCATGGGTTCATGGAGAGTGGCTAGTAGAAACATGCCGCTTCGCCCACCCCGCAAACATCCTCCGTTCACCATCCGTTCACCACCCGGCAACCTCTGCTCCGCTAGGCTGAGCAGACTTTGGCTCATGGGCGCAGCATGCACCGCGCTGCTCCTGGAGAGTGGTTTTAACAGTAGATGGCGTAATCCCCAATGTCAGTGGTTTATATGGACCCCATCTAAGGGACATCTTGGGTGCCAGTGCATTCCGGGTATCATGGCAACCCAGGGGCGTCTCAAACCCAGATCTTTTGGTGCACACACACAAACACCATCCGAACGCTTGACTGGAAACTCTGCACTTCTTGCTGCAGTCCAGAAAGTCTTGCATGCTTGATCCACGTCCAGCACTCTTTCTCAAATCACATTCTTATCAAATATCTTGCAATTGCTATACTTATACTTATTCAGAATAAGTTTCAGGTTTTAGATTCGGATTAGATTTAGATTTTGGATCCATGTCCAGAACTGTTTCCCAAACCGCTTTCAATCAAGATCCTTTTCTGGGGTAGCTCTGGACTCCTCGGTTTCCCAAGCAATGAGTACGGCCAATATGAGGGACTGTGACTAAGTGAGTGAGATATATCATTGGACACCTATGGAATCAGCTGCTTGATAGTACGGGCCACATCCTATGATATATCTTCAGTTATTCCCTGCTATAGTGAGTTATATCAGTACGTGGCTTGAGACAATACAATCACCCAGCACAGTTGCTGGATGAAACATGTACTCTTAAAACGCGCAGGTGTCAAACAACTCTGGGAAGCAAGGGACTGGACACAAACTTTGCCAATTTGTGTCAACAATAAAGAAGACAGAAGAGTCCTGAGCCTTCTCTTCCTCGACTTTGTGGTAGGAGAAGAGGCCAGCAGCTTGTGTCGCAGCATGTGATGCAAACGCTTCTGCTGCGTGCGTCAACTTCGTGAAAGACCCAGCATCACCACCTCCTTCTGCAGCTGCTTTCGCCGGTGCGCTGGTGGCAGCATCCTCAAAAACAAGTTGACAAACAAGAAAGCACTTGATGTTGTAAATCTGAGGACATAGACCAGCAAACTCTGAGCCAGCCACGTTTTCATTTTTGTTTGAGGGTTGTTGGACCCCGAGGATCGATTGTGGAGTGATTTTCTGGAGGGGGTCGACACCACGATTGAGCCGCCGCCAGTTCACCCCGTAAAACTCCCCTGGCCGAAGCGGGTGGGGGAAGGTTGGTCGAGTATCACCACTGGTTGGTTGAACAGCTGTACTCAAAGAAGGGAATAAGAACCTATACAAGTGCCCGTCCGACCAAAAAGAAACCTGAACTATAAGTCATGGACCGGAATAACCCTTTCGGTGAATGATACAGTGAAAAGCAGACTACGGAAAGCTACATCAAGGGATGTCCAAACTGAAACGCATCCAATTAAACGCCGGAAGAGGTACCAAAATTGCATCAAGAGACCGCTTGCGGATCAACCCTATGCGCACCACAGCTTGGAACTTTTCTATTTCAAGAACACACATGTCCAATGAAGAAGGGGATGAAGCCGGAAGTTCAACAGGCAATGTACTGGTGCAAGGCCGGCATAAGAGTGGACCATGACGGGCCGCCGGCGCGGTTCATCCTTTTGCGCAAGCTTTCTGTCTGGACTTGTAACGTCTTTGTGCCTCCGGAACATGTGTGCCTCCGGGCAGAAATCGGAAGGTTATATCAACTCACACCATGTGATATATTTAATATATATGTCAATTAACTGGGCTTGTATGCTGTTCCTTGGCGTCCGGAGGCCAGGGCCGTTGGGTCGACCGTTGTACAGCAAATCATTGCGGCGCGGCGTGGTGATATTCGGCAAAAACAACGTTTGCATTTCTAGAGATGGAGAATATCTTGGTATATCTTGGTATACAGTATACAGGTTATCTGAGGTATATTCAGTTGAATCATAGTTGAATCATGCTCCTGTTGGACAGAGCGTTCTTTGGCTTCCAGATTGGCTTCTTCTTGTGCGCAATTCAGCCCCGCTGTCGAGGCAAAAGTTGAGAAAAGCAGCTAGAGCTGTGCATAGTATGATCAACAACCGCCTGGAACATCACCGACCAGGTCTAATGCGGGGACAAAACAGCGACCATTGCTCACCCCTGCGGCTTGGTCTGCTAACCCTTAATCACCAAGCGGATGACCCTTTGCCGAATACCAAACAGGTGGTTACCCATGATGGTTTCAGGGAGTGTACTAGATAACTGGATGCTTGGTTTATCCCACTGAACGCACCATCCAGTTCGCATAGGGTTGCCATGGCGCGGCCCCGCTCTGTTGCCAACTTCCCTGCAAAGGGTTGGAAGATTGGAGGCGACGCCGAAGCACTACCCTGACTCCCTTAGTTTCACGGCAAAATATAGGTTCACCTTCTTTCCACCTGAGCCATGCTGAAAACCTTGATAGATTCCTATGTCGTAAGAACTGCCTTACGCGAAAACTTACGCCGCGCTTACGCGACCGCAGTTTCAGCTTACGCCGGGGTGTTGCTTACGCCGCTGCTTACGCCACCTTACGCCATTGCAGGCTTTGCTTACGCAGCATCGATATGACATAACCTGGAAATGTCTGGCTTACGCCAAAGCTTACGCAGAGCTTACGCGACCGCAGTCTTAGCTTACGCGGGGGGGAGGTTTTCAGCATGGCTCACCTGTTCGTCTGTTCATACTTAGTGGGGTGTCCCCACAAAAGGTGACCTGCAGGTGATCGACGAGCAGCGCTAGTGCATGAAGACTTGGCGTCATCGACTTTCACGGGAGACTTCTCTGGATTCATATCCAGCTGCTCCTATTCAATTCCAATGCTTGGCATTGCTTAGCCCATTCTCCAATAAACTTTGGTTGACCAAGCATATACTGCCTAAAAACAGCAACGCGATAGCTTGAACAACGTGCTGTATCACTGCATTGCACAAACTTTCAGTCTAGCTACTTTGTGTTGCTTCCTCAACAAAATGCGCTTCTTGACATGACCACCTATATCACATTCAAACAGCTCCCTTTCAAGAAAGACAAAAAAGGTCCTGAGATTTCTCTTCCCCTGCTTTCTTGTAGGAGAAAAGGCCCGCAGCTTGTGACGCAGCATGTGATGCCAGCGCCTCTGCTGCATGCGTTAACTTTGTGAAAGACCCAGCTTCACTGCTGTCTGCTGCTGCTTTCGCAGGTGAATCAGAAGCATCCTCAAAGCAGGAAGCAAAAACAATGAAGAACAGCCAACAATAACACATAAACAAATAGAAGACATATGAACACATGTAGTAAGGTACTGATTGTAGTAAGGTACTGACTGACGAACAACCAGAACCTCTTCCGCATGAATCAACAGATTGCTGCAGCTAGGTATCAGTCACGGGTTCTTTCCCAATGGAACTTCGGTCGTTGCCATTGGCATCCGACTGCTCCTGATTCTCAAATCGATCATCCCACACTGTTTCCGCAATAAACTATACCACAACTCCAGCAAAGCAAGAGGCAAATTGGATTGGCACCAGTTGCTGACTGCATTAACCACTCTATGCAAATGTCTGACGGCTGTACATGCATACAATTGATTCAGCAAAATAATCTCCACATGTCCTGAGCTTTCTCTTCCCCGGCTTTCTTGTAGGAGAAAAGGCCAGCAGCTTGTGAGGCAGCATGTGATGCAAATGCCTCTGCTGCATGCGTTAACTTCGTGAAAGATCCAGCGTCGCCGCCATCTGCAGCTGCTCTTGCAGGTGCATCAGGAGTGGCATCCTCAGATTTGGTCATGTATGAAGGTAGCCAACAAAACTCTTAAGTTACGATCTGTTGTGAGGCAGCCATGCATTGCGGACTGCAGACCTGTTCTGAACGATTTAACATGTCAGAGTTGGAGCAGTTTTGTGCAGCTAGGTATCAGTCGCAGGACATTTGTCAACTGAATCTGCGCTGTTGCCATTTGGACTTGAATCAAACTCCTGATCCAAATCAATCATCCCATACTGGTGCCGCAATAAGCTTACTGTACTGGGACAGGAATTTAGCAAACCAAGAAGCAAAGTCGCAGTTGCTGACTGCATTGAACACTCGATGCATATCTCTGATGGCTTTACTGCCAACTGCAAACGAATGATTCTGCACCACAATATCAACATGTCCTGAGCTTTCTCTTCCCCGGCTTTCTTGTAGGAGAAAAGGCCAGCAGCTTGTGAGGCAGCATGTGATGCAAATGCCTCTGCTGCATGCGTTAGCTTCGTGAAAGACCCAGTGTCGGCTTCACCTTTTGCAGCTGCTTTCGCAGGTGAATCAGGTGGAGCATCCTGACGGATTGAAAGTAAGGTCAGTCAAGCAAATTCCAAGTATGTCGGAAGCTGACTTCTTGATGGACAAATGAGAAACATTGAAGCTTAGGTGTGCAACTTGTCCACAAGTCTTGGAAACTGATGTCCTTATCATGTCTGAATCAATTTTTGGGCACCCAAAAACACATCCTATAAGTACTAGTACCTTCCTGCAGCCGAGAATCATTTGTGGGGCCGTTGCCAAATGAATCTGCGTCGACTTTCTCTGCAGACTCATCTGGATTCGTCTCCAGCTGCTCCTATTCATGTCTTCCATGAACCCATATAAAGAGAAAGCTACACTCATGTCCTTTCTTCCTGTCCTTGTGCACCTCTATTCAATCTCGATTCTTGGTTTTTGTCTGAACTGAGAAAAGATCACGTTGGCTACATCAAGTCATACAAAGAAGCGAACAAAGTGCGGTCTCAACCTTCATGCTCATTGAGAAGTGTTGTTCAAAGTCCATGCTGCAGTTAGGTGTGTTGATACAGCAGCGAAGGCTAGTTGCTTTCTAAATAAATAAATATATATATATA